TCCAGTTGTTTTTCACCAGTATTGAGCATGTTCCATGTTACTGTTTTATTATATCAAATACAGTCTTTGCCACTTGATCTTTCAATTTGATCTCTTATCTCATGCATCACCATTGTGGAGCATGTTCCATCTTACTGTATCTCTATACCAATTACAATACGTTGCTACATAAGATCTCACATCTTATTCCACACCAGTGTGGAGTATGTCCCATCTAATTGTATTTTAGCAAATACAATCAGTGTGGACTATGCTTTATCTTGCAATATATGATTATACTTTGATCTCCCATTTTGTTTTGTTTTTACCAGGGAGTACTAATTTGAGAAATAATTTTTACAGTACTGTGTGTATATAGAATTTATTTAATGCATTTTATTCTTACTGTTAAAGTATGGAAGCAGCTTCATTCCAGTGTCTGACTTACTTAGCATACAATGATAAGAACTCTAAATATCTTTGACATGAATATTGGAATAGGCATTTGGGGTTCATTTTTCATACATCTTTTATTCTTGTGTCTAGTCAACTCTCCAGTGAGGGATGGTATAGGTTAAAGGTGCAGGTATAACATTGCAATTATGGAGGGCCCGTATAGGATCCTACAACAGTTCTACTTATGCCCCTTCATCCAAACTTAAGACAGACCACACCCCAACTAATATGAGGTCAATGATTATTTTCATTCTCATGCTAATGGTAATGGGTATACTATCTACAATTCTGATAGTAACTCTGAAACATTTTGCATACTGCTACGTAGTGGTAATAACACTGCTATTCATGTCACATTTTGTGCTCTTCTTTTGTGCTCTACCAGTAAGTATTATTCTCTTCATTATTAAAAATGTTAAACATTTCAATCCACTTGCCATGATTCAAGCTACTGCATTATTTAGCCTATTCTTATTGGTACCAGGCTCAGCAATATACCTACTGAATCCATCACTTGTTTGTCTACTTATTCTAGCGGGTGACGTACATCCTAACCCAGGTCCCAAAACATGTGAAAAGATTTCCTTCCTCTTTTAAAACATTAATAGCTTACTTGCGGATTCAGGCTCCAGATTTGAAGACCTGAAGCAAAGAGTGACTGACTTGAATCCAAGCTTTGTAGGGTTGTGTGAAACTGGAAATATTGAAAATAGCCTTGATCTTCCCGATTTAAAGTTAGAACACTACCGGAATCCACTTTTCACTCCACTAGGTCGAGGACTTGTCATTTATTCTCATGAAGATATTTCTGTTAAGCCTTATAATCATAATCTCTACATTAATAATCTTGATATCTTATTAGCTGAAATCTCTGTTGACCACAAAAAGATCATTTTCGGCATTTGTTATAGATCACCAAGTCAATCTGCAGAAGAAACTCGAATTTATTTTAACCGTTTACATCAGCAACTTGATATCATTAAAAACGATGCAAATAAATATGATCAAGTTTTACTCATGGGAGATCTCAATGCAAAAAATCCAGCTTGGTTTCAGAATGATGAAAATCTTGCTGGTGAATTACTTTTAGACTGTCTTGATGCACATAATTTTATACAAATAGTTGACAAACCAACACGGATAACTAGCACTTCAAAAACTTGCATCGATCATATCTTTACAAATTCACCAAACTCTATTGATTCTTGGTCAATCGATGCTCCTATTGGAAGATCTGATCATGGTACCCTTTTTACAACTTTAAATCTCAACTTTACAAGGAATCCTCCATTTAAAAGAACTCTGTATCAATATGACAAAACAAATATAGCAAATTTAAATAATGAAATTAGACAAACTGACTGGGATAGTATCTTGACAAGTTCAAATGATTTGGATAAATGCACTTCTGATTTCATAGAGAAACTCAAATGTATATATCATGAGAAAATCCCAAATCACACTAAAACAATAAAATCAAATGATCAACCATGGTATAATGAGCATTTAAAGGTTGAAATGAATAAAAAACGACAGTTATATAAACGTAATGAAAAAAACCCATGTCCTTTAAATTTTGAACTCTACAGAAACCAGGCCCTTAAAGTTTCAAATCTTATATCCTCAGCTAAAATTCAACATGAAAAAAATGCCATACAAAAAGTTGAATCCTTAAATAAGAATGATAAAAACTTTTGGAAATTGGTAACCAAATTAATAGGGAGAAATAACACTTCAAGTAGTATTCCAGCTCTTTATGATACAAATGGAAAAACCTTAAATACAAACACTGACAAGGCAAATGGCTTTCTTAATTTTTTTGTGAATAAATATGACAACAATATCCCCGATGATTACAAACCCACCTTTCCAATGCGAACAAATTCCCTTCTTGTTTCGATTAGAACAGATGTATCCGAAGTTATGAAATTGATCCTAGGTTTAGACACATCCAAGGCTTGTGGCCCTGATCTCATTACTAATAAAATGCTCCATTTATCCGCTCCTTCAATCTCTTATCCTTTGACTAAATTATTTAACATGTTATTACAGCAAAGCGTATTTCCAAAATCTTGGAAGATTGGTAGCATTTGCCCAATCCACAAGAAAAATAACAAGTCAGACCTGTCAAATTATAGACCTATAACTCTTTTGGACTGTATATCAAAACTTTTTGAAAGAATAATTGCAAACAGAATAAAACAACATCTCATTTCAAATGACCTGTTATTCAAATTTCAATCTGGATTTTTGCCGGGTCACAGTACCCAATCCCAACTTGTTGCCATTGAACATCTTATCCAATCAAATCTTGATCAAGGTAAGGGAGTTAAAGCTCTTTTTCTTGATATTGCCTCCGCCTTTGACTGCGTACCTCACAATCTTCTACTACTTAAATCAAAATCATATGGTCTGCAGGGACAAGTTCTAAATCTCCTTAAATCCTATCTTTACGAAAGAAGAGTCAGAGTGAACATTTCAGGATCCTCATCATCTTTATCACAAACACATGCTATCAAAAGTGGAGTGCCACAAGGATCAATACTAGGTCCCCTTCTCTTCTTACTATATATAAACGACCTACCCGATAATATGAATACTGATTGCTTTATATATGCAGATGATACGTCTATATACTTCCCGTTTAGTACTAAAAATCCTTCAGAAATTGATAACAAAGTAACCCAAGCAATAGAAAGAATTGAATCATGGTCTATTAAATGGAAACTCAACTTTAAACCTGAAAAAAGTGTCGAAATAATTTTTCATAATTCCAGGATTAAACTTGGCCAAGTGAACAATTCCTTTATGAATAATGCTTTAATAAAAAGGGAAACATCGCATAAACATTTAGGCTATACCTTTGATGAGCACATGTCTAACAAACAGCATATAATTGCCATAAGAAACAAAGTAAACAAGCTCCTGAATCCTCTCAGATCACTGCAAAAGAAACTAAATTCCAATGTCCTCGAAACTATTTTCATGTCTTTCATTCGACCACACTTTGAATATGGCGCAATACTCTACGATTCCTCTACTCAAAGTGTCCTTAACATATTAAATAAATTATTCTATCAAGCTACTCTTATATGCAGTGGATGTTTACATGGTAGTAGTTCAATTAAGGTAAAGAATACACTCACATGGCCTGATCTAGAAACAAGGCGGTCAATGCAAATAAATAAATTCATGTTTAGAGTTAAAAATAATCTCACTCCAAGCTATGTGAAAGATATCTTTGAACCTCTGAGGATTCAAAATCCCCGAGAACTCAGATCAAATCCTGATTTCAAAATACCTGCCAAAAGCTCAACCAAATTTAGAAACTCTTCTGTCCTCAATGCTATCTCCCACTGGAATAAGCTACCAAAGTATATTCGAGAAAGCACAACAATTACCAGCTTCAATAACTTACAAAAAAATAAAATCCCTAAGCCCTCCTTTTTACCAACTACTAAATTAAAGTTAAAAAGAAATCAAGAAATAATTCTCAATAGATTCAGAGTTGACTTGCTCACTAAAGCTCAGCTATATGGCCATAATTTTACTTATATTGAAACACCAAACTGCGCTTGTGGTGTGCCTGAAACTCCAAAACATTTATTCTTTTATTGTCCAAATAAAGCACAAAATAGGAACACTTTTCTTGCACTTGTAGAGACTTACAAGCCTTTAGCTATAAGGAACAAAAGCCAATTTATAGATTTTCTGAAACATGGCAGTGAAGATTTATCGCTGGCACAAAATAATGAACTTTTTGCTGGAGAACTCTTAACATAATCATAATTCTCTATGGGACCCTCCAAGCAAGTATCAACTATGCCTACTATTCCCTCACTGAGACTATGACACATGACCCCAGCCTGTCCTATTTCCCATTTCTTATCCAAATTGCTGCTATTCTTCCATATTACATGCATTTACATTTGTAATTAAATTTATGTATTTTCTAGCTTAGCCTATAATGCTTTATAAGCGATTGGCAAGCCATTCTTGTAAAACATGATTATGATGAAATAAATTGATAATGTATAAAAAAAAAAATATAAAGCAAAGAGTACTAGTAGTACACTAGGGGAAATCTGCGCAGGTTCGATTTTGAGATTCGGATATTTGCGCATTAAACCAAGCAAAATGCATCAGAGCCCCGGGTAAAACGAAATTCCCGGGGATTTAATTGGCAATTTCGTGACGATAATTTTTCATGATTTTAACACCCTCGCGAAAAGCGCGAAACTAAATCGCACGCGAATAATACCGGGCGTACAGTATGTTTTAGACAATTGTAAAGTACATATAACACAGAAAACTGCTCCAGTGGGTCCATTCTTATTTGATATTCTTTGCTAATAATGATCATTTGCATATATTTAGAATCCAGAATGATCATTGTGTTCCTTCCATACATGTATGACACCTTTTAAACGTAAATAGTTTATTTCACCAAAGCAATATCAGATAGAAATGAACTTACTTGTTAGCAATTAAATTAGCATTTACCTAAGCCTTCTTATTGAGTGATATTTTGTAAAATAATCCTAAACCTAATGAAATAGACTTACTTTGGAATTGCTCCATTGACGTCTCCTTTGGTCTCTAGATGTTTGCCATAGTTGTAGTACGTTGTCCTCAGGTGTACCCTGTCATACATCTCAGCTGTCTCCATGGCCTTGCCCCATTGGCCATTGCTCTGGTAGAAGTCATTCAAAAGGTCATACCGTTTACAATTTTTCAGTAGCCTCACTGCATCTTCCTGCAACATTTCAAACATACCATTTTCACTTTATAGCTGACAGATTATATATCATGGTTCGCATCCAAAACATATTGTACTTTCTCAAATATTCAAATTTCATTTTCTGTCACAAAATAAAATGTTGATAAGTAGCCTATAAATATTCAAAGTTGGAACAGGAGAGTCCATTACAATTTACTTGAATATCTCAACAATCTGTAGACTAATTCTCAAAAAATTATAGATCTGATCTGCTTTATATACACTAGCCTTGCCCAAGTCGGTCTCTTTTACTATCTTGATTTCTATTATGACCGCCTTGTACCAAAGAGAAAGCCACGTGCTTTACCGACTCAATATTTATGTCGGTAAAATTTGACCAATCAGCGACGGCCCTACAGCGTTAGCTCATTATTATGCAAGGTCAAAAACAAGTACACTTTTTACTTTTCGCCGGGACTTTTCACGAACAAACTTGCATGAATTCATCATGAAAATACAAATATTTTATCAGTTAAATATCAATCAGAGTTTAGTGGATGCCGGAGCATCGATCGGTAACCGGAGGTGAGAAGATTTCAACAATAAACGTTAAAACGATCGCTGAATTCAAATGAATATGTAGGCTGAGATTCAATCTACATGACCCGCTACATTGGACTCGGTCTTGCATTTTCATCGCGAAATCAGTTTTAAATCTATTGCATGATTTAATTTATATATCTAATTTATATTAATGACTCTTACATTCCCTATGTACATTTAATTACATAATATATTGTAACTCTAAAGAAACGATCGATCAGATCATCGGCATTGAATTTCAAATCGGGAAGATTGCTTTGCTTATGCAGGTCAACCTGATAACGTTTTTGATTGGTCAATCAGCCTGAAGTCACACGTCGTGTCCAGACTGTCCACGCGTATATCTGTTAATCCATAAGGTTTCGCGATACCCCTGATAGCGTAGGTATTATGGAAATCTCGAAACCGTTGAATAACTCTGCATAATATCAGCGCAGGTGTATTGGATTGTACAAGGCGGTAATAATTCAAGATCAGATAAGTAAAAAATACCGACTTGGGCAAGGCTATATATACACTTAAAGGATGAGATACCTCAATTTATGCGATGGATACTAAATATATATGGGGATAATGACACAAGATAATTTTGATGTGCACCACTAAAATCGTTTCCGACCTTTTAGGTCAAATTATTTTAAGTCCATACAAAAATAGGGACCATAGGATAAATATGATATCCTATGATTTTCTAGGGCTATGATTTTTATCTACTCTTGGATATCTCTAATCTCCACTCAATCGCTGTGCTCACTCCTGGAGATGGGTGATATCCCCTCATGGATAAAAATGGTATCCATCAAAAATCATAGGATATCCTAAATATATTCTTGAAAAGTCAAAGGCCAATGACATAAAATGGATCAGAAATGTTGTACAGATCTTTTTTGGAAGTTACAAAAAACAATACATGAGAACATTAAATGTAAACTAAACGTACATGTAAATCCAGTTGCACTGCCAAGCAAGCAACCCTGGCATCTAATTGTGGTTCAGCAACTGACTCACGTAAAGCTTTAGCCCCTCTAGCATGCCCCATGTTGCCCAGACAGACAGTGGCGACATCTAACCTTCTAGTCTTCACACACATCTTAGCCATGTTCTCCCAAACACTTTCACTGGAATCAAAATATGACAGACCATTAAAGGATCAGAATGTTATTGTTTCTAAACATATTCGAGTACATTCCAATTCCAATTATTGTATGTGGCTTTACAACTATCTAGTTCAGAATAATGTGAATATATTTTATTTGCAGCACGTCCCAGGCTAGAACGTAATCTAACACGTGAATAAACATCCTCAAATTTGGCAAGTCTCCAACTATACACTTTCGAATGATATAAAAGATTGAGGCCATCGACAAAGAATTTATTTGAAGATTCAAGGAGACATTAAACATGAGGGAGCAAATGTGACATCGCCATTGTGTATTCACTTGCTGCATATGAAATAAGGTAGGCCTCAGCTTAGTATTTTATTTCCCAAAATTCAATTAAAAAAAACAAATAAATATAATTCATTATTTATTGACTAATTTATTTACTTCTGATTAATTACTTTTGATCATTGTTAATATGTGTCAAAATAGAGAAAAATGAATAAGTGAGTTCATCTCTTTTTACTTTTATATGTATTGAATAATGCATAACATGGCTGTAACTACGGATTTTGGATAGTAATATACTTTGAAGTGCAATACTTGATCTAAGCTCTGGTTTTATTCCTTTAAGCTCTCATGTAGGTTTAGGGTTACAATGTTAAAAATATTCTTATACAGGGTGTCAAATGGTGACTGTTCTCCTCCATTGCAAAAACTAATCTATTTGTTAAATTCACATACATGTACTGTATATACTTTCTTTCATCAATAGAAAGAGCATCCAATTCTGAATAAGGAGTGAAACTACAAATAAGGCACTTCCAATTAATAGTGTGTATGCCAAAGTAATATACAGACATGCTAGTCATGCAAGGAGGTTGAAACATGGAAATGAGTACTATTTAACTTCTACATTTGATCTTATTATTTGAGGTTTATATGCAACAACAACCAAAACCCTAAAATCTCACTAACTAAATAAAATCCCCTGCTATGTATAATCTAATCTTTTCCAGAACTGTTACTTTCAAAAAGTAACAGTTACCTTGAATCACAATCAAAATGTCAAATATCTTTCTTTTGTTCTCTCAGAAGAGAATAGATAATATTGGGTGCCTAAAATTGTTATTCCCTTCAAATGCATGTGGAATATGTAGGTAGCTACATGTATTTTTTTTTTATAATCTGTTTTATTTCATTATATACAAGTACAAATAGTTTCTGATATAAGTGACCAATCGCTATGGAAGGATAGCATTATAGGTTCACTTTAAATATAAAAAGAACATTGAGTATGTGAAAAAGATGTATTTTCCTGACAAAGGGGTTTGCTGGTCTTTGCTGGGCAATGGTGCTGGGGCAAGGTGATAAGATGATCTGTTGGAGCATAAGGAGGCCATCTTGAGCATTAAGTGGAATTGTCTGATAAAAAATTTGTAACTAGTTTGAAAATCATAATGTTCTGTTCAGTTGAAAGATCAGGATGACCAAATAAAAATGTTTTGATTAGACCATTTTTGTCCATTTGAAGGTTACCTAATAAGTGGAGGATGTTGACATTTAGATTATGAGAGTTCAGGTTGAGACCACAATTGAAAAATATGTGCTTGACAGTTTCGACTTCGCCACATTGACAGTTTGGTGAGTCTACATTTGTGAAGTTATGAGCGTACATTTGTGATTTTAAAAATAAGTCCACTCTCATTCTGTTAAGAATGATTTCTTGAGATCGTGACAGGGTCAAATTGGAAGTTGATATAATTTTGTTTTTATATTTGATCTCATTTTTGAATGAATAAGAAGATGGGCTATTTTTGATATTGCTGGGGACTGAGTCCCATTTTTCCATCAACTGTATACATGGTGATCTTCTGAATTTTGTAGATATATTAAGAGGAATTTGGTAATCACGAATATATCGGAGTTGTCTTGGGTTGTGGTTTTTGAATGGTCGAAATATATCAGTTACATAGGAGGGTGCCCTATCATTTTGGATATTGTACATAGTTTTCTTAAAGTGGTAATCTCTTATGAAAGTTAGATCAGGCCAATTTAAAATATTTAATGTCTTAGATGTGCTGGAGCCATGTAGTGCTCCAGAGCATATGAGGGCAGCCTGGTATTGCAGCCGGTCAAGATTTTTGAGATCTTTTAGATTACTATTGTGATATAATATATCACAATATTCAAAAAGGGGTTTTATATATGATTTATACATTGTTTCGAGTATTTTTGAGTTTAATTTGAATTTAAGGGATTTTAAAGGATTTAGTGCAGTTTGGACTTTGTCGCAGATATAAGAGATGTGTGGGGATCCTGATAAGGTTGAGTCAAGAATATAGCCAAGGTGTTTATGATGATTTTTTCTTTGGATTTTTGCATTGTTAAGAGTCAAAAATGGATAATTTTCATTTTTTACTTTTGAGAAAACAATTTCAACTGATTTTTCCGGTTTAAAGTCAAGTTTCCATAATTTTGACCATTCTTCAACTGTCTGAAGATCAGATTGTAAAATTTGATGAGAGACTGGGTCATTTGGAGTACAGGGCACATATAAAGATGTGTCATCAGCATAGATGAATGATTTTGAATTTAACCTATCAGGCAGATCATTTATATAAAGGAGAAACATAATTGGCCCAATTATACTTCCTTGAGGTACAGATAGATCAATGAAGTGTTCATCTGATGAATTTGAAAGTTGTCCTTCCACATTAACTTTAATTTGTCTGTTTGAAAGGTATGATTTAAAAAGCTCTAGGAAATTTCCATTAAAACCATATGCCTTAAGTTTTCTGACCATTAGGTTGTGCGGTACGCGATCAAACGCGGCCGAAATGTCAAGGAATATTCCGCGAGTGTCTAGTCCATTTTCAAAATTTGATGAAATTAAATGATTTATTGCAAGTAACTGGTGTTCTGTACTGTGGCCCTTTAAAAATCCTGATTGGTGTTTGAAGAAAAGGTCATGTTTAAGGAGGTGGTCCATCATTTGCTTGTGAATTATTCTTTCCAAAATTTTAGATACAATACTAAGCAGAGTTATAGGTCTGTAATTCTTAATGTTATTTTTATCACCCTTTTTAAAGATAGGACATATTATCCCAAGTTTCCAATAATCAGGGAAAATTCCAGTTTCAATGATTTTGTTAAATAAGGTGCATAAAGGAATGGAAATAGATTCAGAGCACAGTTGTAGCATTTTGACAGTGATATCATCAGCTCCGCATGCTTTCGAGGAGTCAAGGTTTTGAATGATAGTTTTAACTTCTTCGACAGTTGTGAGAGAGATTTCAACAAGGTTGTTGGTACGAAGAGGAAAGTTAACATCAAGGGTTTGATTTTGGGTACCAGAATGATAAGTCTGAGAAAAATAGTGCAAGAACATTTCTGCTTTTTCTTCTTTAGTTTCGGCAATTTTGTCAAGTTGTTGATTGAGGATTGTTGGAATTGGATTTTTAACATTTTTACCCAGGAGTTTCTTGATATTGGACCAAAAACCAATGCTAGAAGATTTTTCTTCAGATAGGTGGGAGATTATTGAATTTGTGTAGTTTACCTTAGCGTCACAAATCAAGGTTTTACATAAATTTGACTGAGTCTTATATGCATTGTTATTTTGATCAGTGTTCTGATGTTGAAATCTTTTATAAAGTTTAGCTTTCTTGCCTAATTCATGGGAAAGTTTACTATTAAACCAGGGTCTGTCATTTTCCTTAATACGTTTCAACTTGTTGGGAATATGTTTCCTAAAAATTTTGAGCAAAAAACTGGTAAAGTCTTTTGTAAGAGAGTCTAGATTTCGATAGTTATTAAAGAAATTATTCCAATCATGATTAGTTATAGCTTGATTTAACATATGAGTATCTGCTTGGTCATATTTCCATATGGTTTTAAGTGCAGGTGTAGAAGCATAACCAGGTAAATCAACTTTAAATAATAAGGTACTATGGTCAGTATTCCCAATTGGGTCCAGAATTTGAACATCACCTACAAGCAATCTATCATTTGTACAGGTCAGATCGATACATGATTTTGAAGAGGTAGTAACACGTGTTGGACCTTTAACAAGTTGGTCGAAACCATTTTGGAAAAATATATCATTTAAATTCTGGCCAATGGCATCCTCAGTGCCATCTAGCCACCAGGTTTTGGATTTCGCGTTAAAATCACCATTAAAAATGATAAGATTAGGTTTATCAGCCTTGACTAGAGATATATTTCTTTCAAGAGCTTGGCAAAATTCAAAGCGTTCTTGTGCAGTCTGGCTTGGAGACCTATAAAAAACACCATACATTATTTTCCTACCCTTCACCTTTACTTCAAGCCAAAGACCACCCAGTTCAGGGAAATCAAGATCTGGTCTTTCTTTAATGAGAAGATTATTGTGGGCATAAATCATAAGGCCTCTATGTTTGGAGGAATAGTAAGGCTTATGGAAACCTGTAATTGAAAATTCTTCAGTAATTTTTGAATCAGAAAGGTTTCCTACCTCACAGAGTCCTATAATATTTGCATTATTTTCCATGATTCTGTGGTCTAATGCTTGAAAGCGAGCCCCATAATTAGCCCCTATGCTTCTGATATTGGAGAAAAGTATGTTTACTCCTAGAGGACTGGTTGGACCAGGATTCATATGGATGTCTCCTGATAAAAGTAGAGTTAACTGAATGGTGTTTGGCTGATAAAAGTAAATGGCAAGTCCAGGAGTTAAACAAGCCGTTATAGTATAAACAAATGAGTTTGTTAAGATAAATCTTGGATTTATGGTATTGTTTCTATGTTTAATTAAGTTAACAAAAATACTCATGGAAATGAGTACCTGAAGCACTTGGTTTAGAAGTAAACCTCCAGCTGCGATGATGATAAATATTGAATTAAGGTGTTTCTCTACCATGGGAGAAAACCAGTTATCAAGTAAGTAATATGCAGTGAAAAGTGAGAGGATCACAATGCATAAAATCTTAATTATGGGTGGACAGCAACAGGGTATTTTCCGGGATGAGGGATCTTTTGAAGATGAAATATGTAAAGTATTAAAGGTACCTATGCTCGACCTCCATTGAACTATATTAATCCCCATTAAAATCATTTGCCATCAGCACCATTACCCACAAGGACCCAGCAATTGTTACATTATTGTCAGAGAGATTTTGCATTGATGGTTTGAAGAATTTGCAGCTCAGTAATACCACACTTATTTGTTAGTTGGAATTTAAAAGAAAATTGTTAAGGCAATCATAATTAATGGCATATTTCACATGTACACATAGAATATGCAAGTTTTGGTATCATTATTACAGTTAGGGCTGAACTCTAAGGTGACAAGAAAATGTTTCAATTAAAATCAAATTAAATTATAGGTTTAAGGTAGTTCTGTATGTGTGAAATAGATTTAGAACCAATTTGTTATAATTCCAACTTATTTATCAAAATGTTTTTGACATTAAGTTCTGTGTCTTATGATATTCAAATTTTCATTTAATGTTCAAGTGTTTTCTAATTCAAGAAATATATTGGTGATCCTATGAGTTTTTATTAAAACACCACGTGGATCCACCTTAAAGGCAAAATAAATGAGTGTGCCACATATTTTAGACACATTTAAAACAGGAATCAATGTCCACAGATGGGTAAAATAGTCACAACAATTGTTTGTGTGATTTGGCATTTATGATAAGAAATGAATCAAAATAAAGCAACAGACATGGAGTTTAAATATAACAGTGTTCAGTGGTTGTCCATATAACAATCAGCAACATGTATAGTAGCTAGCAATTTATTCTTTGGATGGTGCATCATTTGAACCCTGGAAAATGGCATGGAACTGTACTGAACTGCTACTCCAAGATAATGTCAGTTTATATCAAGGACAGGAGAGGAAAGGGTGCTGCTGCATAATTAATTTTATATCATTAAAAATTGATTTATTTTTGTAGGCAATCATTTATCAATATGTTGTCAAGGACTGACTCTACATTGCAAGTGAAGTTCAAGTGCTTATTTTTCTAGAATATTTTTAGTCACATCGCCTCATGACATTGTGTAATAATTTATTTCAAGTGCTGTCTACTTATCTTAAAAATAAATTGTTGTGTACTTATAGATAAAAGCAAACTCCAACACCTCAACTTCTTGAGTACAATCGTGACTGTCCAAAAAAGATAAAATGGCATATTTGAGTCCAAAAAATGCTTTGATTGATGAATACCAAGAGCTGTTGACCTGTATTATCTGCACTGGGACATTGAAAAATGCCAAATCCCTTAGCTGTGGACACTCCTACTGTAAGAACTGTCTTAAAACTTGGATCGAGAAAAATAAGGGGAAAAGAGATAAAACATTTCCATGTCCAATATGCAATGCCAAACATGAAATTCCAAAGAATTGTGTTGATGACTACCATACTAATATTACCATCAACTCTATGGTTGAAATCCTCGAAAATCAACTGTCACGTGATAAGAACTTGAAGGCTAATTGCGACATCTGTGCCCAGGAAGGTGATGATGTGCCAGCTGTATCACGTTGTGTTGAATGTGCTGAAAACCTATGCCAGGCATGTAACAAGTCGCATAAGCGGTCTCAAGGTACCAGATCCCACAACATGTATGATTTAACTGGAGATCCAGAGAAAGATGCCAGACTAGCGCTGGACAACTATGTCAAACGCAACATACAATGCCCGAAACATCAGGATCAGCCGCTTAAGTTTTTCTGTTCAAAAGATAAAGCCATCGTATGCACACATTGCTGTATTACAGAACATCCAGGACATAAGTGTGAAGCCATTGAAGAAGCAGCTGATAAGGAGAAACAAAATATTTCTGCCCTTTTTGGACTTGCCAATCAAAGAAAGGAATTGTTCGAGAAGTTCATCCAAGATTCAAGTGACATGCTTCAATCATATCAGGGAAACAGAGAGTCTTTACTTAAAGAGATTGATACAGATCATGCTGCAAAATGTAAAGAACTGGATGAACATTTTGCAAAGCTCCATAAAGAACTAGATGAACAGTTGGCGAGGCGACATAAAGAACAAAATGAGAATCATAAAAAACTTCAAAATGAAGCTAAAGCTGTGGCTCACGAGAAAACAAAGGTGATTCAGGCCAAGCAAAACCAGCATGAGTTAGAAAAGGGAATTGCTGAAAGTACCCTTCTTCACCTTACAGCTCTTATAAAACACGGTCATCCTGTTGACATCATGAATTCAAGCACTGATACAGCGAAGAAGCTCCAAGATTGGGGAAGAATACCTGAAGAAGATGAGGACCCTGTGGACAAATACACGTATCAACCTGGAACATTAGATCCTGCCAACATGGTGAAATTACAGCAACCTGAAACCCTAGACAGCGCTAAAATGGGGCGAATACATAAGAGCAATGTAACAAGAGAAGTTAAACTAGGTGACAAGAATCCAGGTGTAAAGAAAATATATGGTGCCACAAAAGGGTACAACAATACCATTGTATTATGCCATGAGCCATCAGGTGGTATGTCTAGCTATGCTGCTGACACCTTCACCAAACTGCACACAGCAAAAGGTAATTTCATTGATGTATGTTGTATGCAGGGCAACTTATATGCAGCAACTGATTACAGTAACAAATGTATCAGTATTCACAACCACAACCTTGTCCACCAGAAGAACATAGGGAAATGCAAAGACCCCTGGGGTATATGTGAAGCACCAGGTAAAGGACTGCTAGTTGTTGACAACACTGACAAGTGTGTTTATCTTGTTGATTACAATGATGGAAAGATACAAGATACTATTGGCAAGGGTCACCTCACAGACCCATACTATGTTACAATAAATAATAATAGTACTGTGTTTATATCAGAATATGGTGCACATTGTGTGAAAGGATTCACAATGCAGGGAGAAGAAGTCAATAAGTATGGTACATATGGTGGAGGACCTGAACAGCTTGATGCTCCAGAATGTGTCTGCATTGATCCTGATAACAACCTTATCATTGCTGACAGAGACAACCATAGAGTTGTACTGCTTGACCAGAACTGTAAATTCATCAAGTACTTGCTTGAACCTGAGGATGGTATGAAGTCTCCACGAAGTGTTATAATAAACAATGAAGGTGATCTTATTGTTGGAGATCAGGACAGTAGAGACCTGTTCGTCATTAGGTATAGACAGTAACTGAAAATGGAATGTCTGCATGGGACTATAACCAGCCATAGGACTGATATATAAATTGTAATTGAACAATGAATATCAACATGGATACAAATAGCAATAGGACTGATATATGAATCGTAATTGAACAATGAATATCAACATGGATACAAATAGCTATATTAATTGTTAACATGGATAGGGACTAAGGCTTTGATATAAAGATAGTGAAATGTTAACATGGATATGACCTCAGCATTGATACACGGACTATGAATAGATAACAATAAACTAATCAAAAGAAAGAATTTAAAACACTAATTTACAGTTATCTGATACAATCTGAATATCTATAGATACATCATAGGAATACCCCATCTTTGGTTGTTGCTTCATATAGGTGTCAGCAGTATAACTGGTTATTAACTATGTTGAACAATGTTATAATTGTGTTTACTGAGCAATAGTTAATTTGCTGTTAAGACTACAGGTCAAAGTTATGTATATGATTCTATGGTATCAAACCACAAAAACAGCAATTTTAAAAACCATTTTAATTTAGATTAGTCACACAGACTCCAAATAGATTATTCTATTCTGACATTATTTATGAGATATACTGACAGTTTTTCAAAATTATAAATCAATTGCATTACATACCAGTATAGATAAAAACATGTTATATAAAAAATGTGAAATGAGATAAACTGAGAGATGCTAAAAAATCTAATATTTTCAATGTACAGTGTACTGTTAATGTTTTGGTATGCTGTATCTTTAGATAAGTTATCAATGTTAAAAATTCAAATTATATTAAATGATATCATGAATTAAAATATAATGCTTGTAATATAATATGAATAAAAACAATGACCATGTTTTGTTATTGATAATGGGTGGCAGTACTAAATGTTTTTATGATGTTCTACTATCTTATGACATTCAATTTCCTTATGGGAGGCATCAAAAGTTTGATGTCGGATCGGAAACTAAATAAATCTAGTTTTGACTTTGACCCCCCCCCCCCCTCCCCCCAAAAAAAACTAAATATCATGAAAGTTGATCACTGACTTCCGCTTTGAGAATTTGAAGATATGTCAGATAGCAAGCTGAAGTGGCTTTGAACCCCCCCCCCCCCCCTAACCAGATTTACTTAGTTTTCGATCTGACATCACACTTTTGAAACCTCCCCTTATCTAATAGTTATTCACTTTGGCTCATGCACATTATACTAAGACAATGGGGTATTTCAAAATAAAAAAAATTAAAAGAAATTGCATGTTATCCAAAATAGAATAGAAGGGAATTAATCTTGAAAGTGCATCCCATTCTCTATCAAAGGAATATGAAAATGTGTCTCAAACGATATGGTAGATAAAGATCATATGTAACTTTTTTACAAATAAAATGATTTGAGAATTGATTTACCTCAATTTCTAATAAAATGTCTATGATTTTAACAATATGTATCAGCGCAAGTGTCAATGGGAAAGTACCCAAAATGGTTACAGAACACAAAAAGAAAACAGTGTCTAATCCCCCCTCCCTCACAAGTTTTATAAGTAAACACTATATGGTAATGTGATGGGACATAAAAAGCATGCATACCTCCTGATTAATTTAATAGCCTTGAATGCTTCATCCATATTCCCTATAGTCAGATAGAAGCTAAAGTTCATCATGGCATCACGCGCATTCTTATCTGCATCCTCTAGACCAATGAAATCACGCATAGTACGTCGTGAAACAGCCTTTGATGTGAAAGATGGCGCTGCAGTGGTCTGTGGACGATTCATGCTCTCGTCTAGTGCGGCATTGGCATCGGCTTTGTCTGTATCCTCTGCCTATAAAATGATTTTATATTAGTTTTCCGTTTTCCCAACTAAACTGTGTACAGAGATGTCCTTATTTAAGTTAGATTAAGTACATATATTTGCTAGTTCTGAAAATAAAATTCTAAACAAGGTTATTTTCAAAAAGAAGATGAGTAAGCATTTTCATGAGTGATCTTGGAGGGACAAATAATACATCACTGATCAAAGTCTACTAATATTCAAGTTTTAAGGTTAATTTTACATTAAGTAAATTGGCATCCTCCTAAGCGGGTATCCAGAATCCGTACCTCCTTCTTCCCCCTGCTATAACCAATTCGGAAGCGCCCGATTTAACTGAATCAGGTGATCTAATTATGCGCAATGACTTATACATGATTTCTGTCGCAGTGTTGCGACAGCCAATCAGATTGTGAGTTCTTAATCGGGGAAATGCTAACTGCTTATCGCAGGGGGTAAAAAGAAAGAATATATTCTGGATTTTGAAGCCCTGTGATCGGAGGATGGTAAATTGGTAATATGACTTTGAAGTGTTCAACTTACAGAGATGTTCCACTTACAGAGGTATTCCACTGAATATATTTAATTGTCATTCAACCAATACATAAGGCCATTGACAATAGCTGATAGCCTGGCATCACTTACCTTCCTAGCAAAGTAGTAATAGGGCACCTGCATACCAAGCATAGAGCTGTGAGACTTCTTCATAGAGAAACTGTCTTGAATGAGGACCCCATTCTCTGGTGTTACGAACAGAGAAACAATCATCACCTCTGGCTGAAATAACAAATAACACGATCATTTCTCAACAGTGCAAATAATACCGGTCATTTTGTTAAGAAATTACGAGGATTGTTCAAATATTGTTCAGTGATGAGCCTGAGGCAGTCCAAAACATTGATGATGCAAGAGACATACAAAGTTGTTCTGCTTATGAAGAGCCTGAATCCCCCTCAGTTTTTATAAAAGAAAACTGATCAAATCTTAGAAAACATAATTCTAGTTTTCCGTAATTATAAATATTCCTTGAACAGGAAAATACAGCTTTGAATAACATAGGGTCTATAAAGGGGGTCCAAAATGTAATAATGAATTCAGGCAGTCAAGAGCTTAACTGTACTTACCGGTTGTTCTAGAGTAGCCCTAGACATGGATGATGTAAGAGAAATACTTTGGTTCAGCTTGCTCTGTTGGTTAGGCAATGATTTAGTCTCACACACCAGTAGTTTAGTCTCCAATGGATCCCAGAAATGGGAGATTGGGAATCTACCTGCAATATCACGAGCTGCTTGGTTCTTTCCTCTGAAATTGGAATAAACAATGTCTCAAAAGAACAATATATAGTATGCATAATGAAATTGTAACGAGTCAATGTGGCAGATGAGGCCATAACAAGGGACTAGGAGACATTTAAACTAACTGATTTCATAGTCTGAGTTTTGACAAAAGAGACTTAGTGTGCTCCTTGCTTTTGACCAAAAATAAAGCATTCATCAAGGTTTTTTGAAAGGTCTGGCCATTTACCCAGGCACAAAGAACTACTCTAGAACATTGCAAGTGCTCTGAGACCCAAAGCCAATGGGAATTGCGCTTTTGAAAAAATTGGCCTCATTTAAAAGAGGGATGTAATATAATCTGGTATTGAAGGGTCTGTACCCTGAATTACAATTGAATTTATACAAATAAATATTGTGAAATTGTGGATGTAAAATTTAGAATGTACATTTACCTAGACCTACTATAAATGCATCTTATACATTACATTATATAAAATGGTGCATGTGCATACATGTATAACGCATTAAATCAAATTAAAATTAAATTAAAAAATGTTCTGTCAAAATAAAAAATAACAAGGGAAAACATGAAGCTAATTTTAATCATAAATTGATTGTATACAGATGCCAATCCTAAAATCAATCAAGCATGCAGAGGAATTTTATATTAATCCAGCATTGAATGGATAAAGATCAAGATTTTTCCAATTGTTTCAAATATTTGAATGATTTCATCATAATACCGACAAATAAGTCATGACAGAAAAAATCATGGAGCCTGCTAGAATATTTCTCTTTTAGCCACTTGACACTTTCAGTTTTCTCCTCTCAGAGAACAAAATCAGATTTGCCAGATCATTTGAATTTGTGTACATCCATCCAGACTTATTATAATATGGGATTTTCAAGTACGACTGTATGTAAATGGTTAGTGCTGAATAATTTCAATCAATCACAAATCTTAAACCAGTCTATGTTTGAAACTGCCAGACAGCAATAATCCAAGATTAAGCCTGGGGAATATTAGAGTTTTGTTGATATTTGGGTTTTACTAATTCTAGGGTTTGGTATGTATGTGTTACAATTTCCTAAAGTCACCTATAATAAATGCTGTGTTACGTGAGGAAAAGGGGAAGTCAACAGTAACATGCAAGGTGGTTTCAATGGGGATGGAAGTGGGAAACATTTCATTCCACTCATCAGAAAGAAGGGAAATATACTCAGTCAGTGGGGACATGCAAGGTGGTTCGATGGGGATGGAAGTGGGAAACGTTTCATTCAACTCATCAGAAAGAAGGGAAATATACTCAGTCAACGAGGAAATGCAAGGTGGTTAAACAGGGAAGGAGGTGGGAAACATTTCATTCCACTAATCAGAAAGAAGGGAAATATACTCAGTCAGTGGGGACATGCAAGGTGGTTCGATGGGGATGGAAGTGGGAAACATTTCATTCCACTCATCAGAAAGAAGGGAAATATACTCAGTCAACGAGGACATGAAAGGTGGTTCAACAGGGAAGGAGGTGGGAAACATTTCATTCCACTCATCAGAAAGAAGGGAAATATACTCAGTCAGTGGGGACATGCAAGGTGGTTCAACAGGGAAGGAGGCGGGAAACGTTTCATTCCACTCATCAGAAAGAAGCGAAATATACTCAGTCAGTGGGGACATGCAAGGTGGTTCGATGGGGATGGAAGTGGGAAACATTTCATTCCACTCATCAAAATGAAGGGAAATATACTCAGTCAACGAGGACATGAAAGGTGGTTCAACAGGGAAGGAGGTGGGAAACATTTCATTCCACTCATCAGAAAGAAGGGAAATATACTCAGTCAGTGGGGACATGCAAGGTGGTTCCACAGGGAAGGAGGTGGGAAACATTTCATTCCACTCATCAGAAAGAAGGGAACTATACTCAGTCAACGAGGAAATGCAAGGTGGTTCAACAGGGAAGGAGGTGGGAAACATTTCATTCCACTCATCAGAAAGAAGGGAAATATACTCAGTCAACGAGGAAATGCAAGGTGGTTCAACAGGGAAGGAGGTGGGAAACATTTCATTCCACTCATCAGAATGAAGGGAAATATAACTCAGTCAACGAGGACATGCAAGGGGGTTCAATGGGGAAGGTGGTGGGAAACGTTTCATTCCACTCATCAGAAAGAGGGAAATATAATCAGTCAGTGGGGACATTCAAGGTGGTTCGATGGGGATGGAGGTGGGAAACGTTTCATTCCACTCATCAGAAAGAGGGAAATATAATCAGTCAGTGGGGACATGCAAGGTGGTTCAACAGGGATGGAGGTGGGAAACATTTCATTCCACTCATCAGAATGAAGGGAAATATACTCAGTCAACGAGGACATGCAAGGGGGTTCAATGGGGAAGGTGGTGGGAAACGTTTCATTCCACTCATCAGAAAGAGGGAAATATAATCAGTCAGTGGGGACATGCAAGGTGGTTCAACAGGGATGGAGGTGGGAAACATTTCATTCCACTCATCAGAATGAAGGGAAATATACTCAGTCAACGAGGACATGCAAGGTGGTTCGATGGGGATGGAGGTGGGAAACGTTTCATTCCACTCATCAGAAAGAAGGGAAATATAACTCAGTCAACGAGGGCATGCAAGGTGGTTCAACAGGGAAGGAGGTGGGAAACATTTCAAATTCATGCTGGGTGGTGTTGGGATAACAATATACATTATGTAGTACCTAGAGGGCTTCTTAGAGCCAGGGGGTTTATGCGACCCTGGTCTAAACAGCATATACTTATGTGACCTGGCAGGTTTAGCTCTTCTACAAGTGAGACACATTCATACAAGGGACATCAGGTAATACACAATTAAATGGAAAAATAATGGAAAATTCAAAAATGTTTAGGACAACAAAATCTCAAATAAAATAGAGTAAAAGAATTAATTCATATATGATACAACATTTGTTATATATTAAATAAATGAGGTTAAAAGAGGTAGTTAACAGAAGTCAACAATAATGATGATAGAAATATGTTAAATAAAGACACATTACATTTAAAGAATAATACAAAAAAATAAGAAGAATACAACAAATAAGGTATGAAAACATACAAGGTTTTGATATATAAAGATCACCTGAAAGTATCTTTAATGTTAGTTAGTTAATGATTCAGAAAATAGCGCGCCCAAGAAAATCTGTACTTCATGAATTGCTACCGAGTCCTACACTGGTGTAAAGTGCATTGTTCTTTTACTATGACATCATTATATCCATGGATACAACTCATTTAGGAATTTTTAACCATTCAGAACAAGATCTGTTAATGATCTCCAGACTGCCAGCACTATCATTGAATAAAATACTGTACTTTATTTGCCATAACTTGAAAATATAAGTATTTGAAACATATTTCTCACAACAGACTGTAAAAAGATTACAGAAAATAAGGTGCCCAATAAAATCTAAATTTCATGAGGGGATACCTGAGTTACACAGACAATAAGGTATGTTATAAACAGAAGCATGAGCAATACACTAATAAGTCATAATTTGTAAATACAAGTACATTTTGTATTTGAAACATATTTTTGACAGCATACCTCTCTTCTGCAGTTTCCTGATCACTTTCCATTGTACCAGGAGCGAAGTCATCTTGTTCTCCTTTACCAGTCTCAAAGTTAAAGTACTGTAGAGTGTCTAGTTCAGTGTTCCAAATATACAGTTTACTGTCTGTGCTACCATTGGGCTGGAGAACATATGAACATACACAGATTATAAGTTAAGTTTTGCATACATTTGTTCTTACATTAGATACATACATATTTTCTAACATAAGACAAATGTGTATTTTATTGGATTCTAATATACAGGAACATTTATGAATATATTTCTGAAAATATTCACCTTTTTAATACAAAGACTGACTTTATTTCCAGCACAGTTACACCTGAGTGATACAAATCCTCCAAAATGTGAGATGACGTCAGTCATATTCTTTGCAGTTCCTATCTGCTTGGCCTCCCTGGAACACATATGAGACAAATCAGGTGATTTCATCCAAAATTAAAAAGAACAAGGCATTAACATGTCAAAATGTGACCATTTGGTAGGAATGCATTAACATGTCAAAATGTGACCATTTGGTAGGAATGCATTAACATGTCACTATGTGACCATTTGGTAGGAGTGCATTAACATGTCAAAATGTAACCATTTGATAGGAATTACAAAAGTGTAAGTACATCGATGCTGAATGATGATCAGAAAATAATATGGTGAAAAGAGATGTCAGCTATTAATTCTTTAAGTTGAAACACTAAAAACCAAAATTTTAAGTCAGATTTTCATCAAACACTGACTTCTTCACATATGCATTACATGAATCCAGTATTTGAAAAATTCAATCTCAGACTAGTGTAATAAAACCTCAACTTTCATATCAATCATTGGCCTCAAGCAATAAATATAAAGAACATAGTTTTTCTTATACCATACCTTCTGGATAAGTCAAATAGTTTAATGATTCCATTCTCTGTGCCGACTATGAGGAAATGTGGTGAACAGACTTCCAGTGTTACAGGTTGACCCTCTACCTCTGTGAAACTAATCAGCTGCTTTACGGTGCCCTGTAGACATAAAAACACATCAAATAATGACTTCAATTCACTCATGACAGATACATGCCCTTTTGCAAAGGACAACAATGTATTGCCTTTTAAGTTTGATAAAAAACAGATGGAACTTAATTACATCTAGGATTATAGGATTACCTTTGGTAGGACAGTGCGATATGATTATGATATGCTTACGATGGGTTCTATATATCATAACCAATAATATACCTTCTTATTTACTGCTTGAGAATCAATCAATTTTTTTTATGTTAAGTGATAGGAAAGAATAAAGAGTAAAAATGTTGGAAGCATTCTTTTCAAAAGCATGACATTACAAACCTTATTTTATTATTTATTTAAGGGCATGGTACATTCTGTATTTCTTGAACATTTTCACTCCATGATTTTGGACAAGCATGCTATTAAAAATAAGTATTCAACCAAAAGGAATAGGGACATTGTATCACAAAAGATGTTAACAAATTGTGTAAAATTTTGACATAGTTCGGGAGACCCTTAAAATGTACACTTAAAGCAAAGAATTAAAATAAAACCATGGAATGGAACTTAAATCTAAATCCACTCCATAAAGAACTCAGCCAAGGAAAGCGTACAATGTACAATGCACCTATATCTAACCCAAAATAACCAAGAGAAAAAGAATACCCACCTGGAATGTTCGAACTTGTACTTTGCCCTGTTCTATTGTGTAGACATTTTGCTCATATAAGCTGCATATTGTTGATTCAGTGGAAAATGTCCCTGCTGCGCGTATAGTAGATTTGTCTCCTGTTATTTCATACACGACTAGCTTCCTGCCATTCCATATTGCAACATTTTCCTGAAAGTATTCAAAATTATTGTCAGTTTGTACCCATATATTCTTGGCTTGCTTTTCAGCTATTGTTCCTGTTTCGTACCCTTGTAATTAGACTCCAGATGAAAATCTGGAGTCTATTGCTTTTGCCAGTTTTCTTTTTATTATTATTCTTTCTTCCTCTTCCTCCTTCCCAGATTTCTCACCAACTAGAAGAGCTTACCTTAAGCTGCTTACATGATTAACTAGGGAATGTATCTGGGATGATGGGAAATTAGGTCAATTTTTTATCTAGGTCAAAGGTCAAGAACTAGGTCAAATCTTGCATTTTCAACATTCTTTCAATTATCTTCGTCGTTATTTATTGAAACAACTTTGTCTTTTTTTCATCATGTAGCTTAGAAACAGCTCTTTCAAAGATATGCCATCAGAATTTTAATTACTCGTACCGATTTTGAGATATGGCGTCCGGAAAGTAGGTCAGAACAGAAAGTTCTCCAAATTCAACATGTGAGCTATGAAATAAGTGTAGAATGATCTCAGGAACCTGAATCTGCAAACCAAATTTTGATCCGACATCTAGTACGGAAGTTATGGCGTTTTGAAAGCTCAAAAATCGCTAAATTTGGTGCCCATGTTAAGTCAATGGGAAAAAAGATTTTTTTGAAGTGAAAAATACGAAATATAGACTGAGTTCAGCTTAATATAATGGACGCTTTTAAAAGAAGGGGACCTCAAAAGCCATCTAGCTTAAAAATTTGGACACAAAAATGCCAAGGTCAAAATCTAGGTCAAATTCAAAGTTTTTCCTTATTTTTGCAATTCTGACACTACACTTTAATTATATTCTTCGAAATTGTGTATACATGTAGCCAAGAGTGTGCTAATAGTGTTAGCCTTTTGCCATCAGGAAGTATTTTGACCCACTTTTGAGATATGGTGTCCCAAAAGTAGGTCAAAATAGAAAATTCTTCAAATTTAACTTATGAGTTATGAATCAGGGGTAGAATTTTGTCAGGAATCTGAATCTGCAAACCAAATTTCGATCCCACTTCCAGTACGGAAGTTATGGCGTGTCAAAAAAGTAGGTCAAAATAAAAAAATTCTAAATTTAACGGATGAGTTATGAATTAGGGGTAGAATTTTGTCAGGTATCCGAATCTGCAAACTAAATTTCGATTTGACATCTTGTTCAGAAGTTATGGCGTTTTGAAAGCTCAAAAATCGCTATATTTGGTGCCCCATGTTAAATCAATGGGAGCGAATAATTTTTTGAAGTGTAAAAATACAAGATATAGAATGAGTACAGCTAAACATAATGAAAGCCCATACAAGAAGGGGACCTCAAAAGTTACTTTCCTTCAAAATTTGGACACCAAAATACCTAGCTCAAAATCTAGGTCAAATTCATAGTTTTTTCTTATTTTTGCAATTCGGACACTACACTTCAATGATATTCTTCGAAATTTTGTATACATGTAGCAAAGAGTGTGCTAATAGGATAGTTTCTAAATAGCAGAAAAATCAATGAAATCTCGTGCTGCCATATTTTATTCATCTTTTAACTCGGGCCAGAGCTCCATTCATTTACATGCTAAAATCTTGGAAAAGTGGCTTAATTTCATGATTTATCAAAGTGTGTTTGTTGAATCTGTATAAAACCTGAATGATATACCATATGATGACCCTGTTTACGTACATGTTGTGATTAAACATGCAAATGTTGATTGACATACAAATAATCCACGGATTTAAAGAATTTTAGCATTGCATCTATGGACATTTGGCCCAAGTTTTTTTAAATTGTTATAGAAAATTATTCAAATTACATAACTGTGTAAATCAAAGCTATTATAGGAGAAAACTTTTCACTGAATTCAAATATGCCATTTAAAAGAAGGTAATGTAAGTCATTAGAGGTCTAATATGCAAGTCTCTTAAAATCTCACGAAAAACGAGATTTAGCGAGATTTCAAAGGCTATATGGAAACTATACTATTATGTTAACTTTTTGCCGTCAAGAAGTTTTTTGACCCACTTTAAAGATATGGTGATCGAAATGTAGGTCAAAATAAAAAGTTCTCCAAATTTAACGTATGAGTTATGAATTAGGGGTAGAATTTCCTCAGGAATCCGGATCTGAAATTAAAATTGCAATCCGATTCGCACTTGCCAGTATTCACAATGCAGATTGATCAAATAAACTTTCAAAAATTCCTACATACCCTACTTTACCTCCCTACCTACTACTTATTTGACTACTTACTCAATTGCTTAATTAGTTATTACTTACTTAGCTACTTACTCAGCTACTAACTCAGGTACTTACTCAGCTACTTACTCAGCTACCTACTCAGATTTTTACCAAGTTACTTACTCAGCTACTTACTCAACTACTACTAAGGTACTTACTCAGCTAATTACTCAGTTACTTACTCAGCTCTTTACTGATCTATCTAGGTCAAATAAATCTGGAGTCTTAAATTGAACTTGTTCAATTTCACAAATCTAGTTATTAGTTAACATTGAAATATTTCCTAAAAATGACCAATGACATTGTAATTGTAAGTTTGAGCTTTTGTATTTTCAGTTTGAGCATTTGTATTGTCAGTATGAGCTTTTGAATTTTCAGTTAGAGCTTTTGTATTGTCAGTTAGAGGTACTTTTTATTATCCTAGCGGGTATAAGGTGGAATTATTATTGAAGTAAAATCTAATAGACATTATCCAACATACTCTTACAGATGATATTCTCTCAGGGCACTGACTTTCTAAAAATCTTAGCATTTTAACCCATTGTAAGTGTCAGCATATGTAAAATGGTAATATAGCATTGAATTTTTGTTTTATCCCATATTTTCTGAATGAGTCTACTAACTAACAGTTCATACCCCTGTAGTGTAGGTGCCTTTAATTTGTATGTCAGTTTTGAGATCTTGGTGTGTGCTTGTAGCAAAGTTGTCTATAGGGTCTATAGAGAGGTTGCTTGGGCCAGTCTGCACTACAACACACTGAAAATAAGCAATTAAATTATTTAAGCCTGAACTGTACACCAAGTTATTAGAAACACAAGATAATTCAAGCATTCCATTTCATCTGTAAATAATAACATTTTTCCTATTACTCTCAGTACAAGTACTTTACCTAGAATTGTACACTTTTTCAAGATATCCTGTTGCTGTTATCTATACTATCCAATTTAAAAACAATAAAATACTCAAAATATTTTGGATTTTGAACTTTCTAGACCTTTATGCACATGTATATTTTATATTACATTGGCAAGATATTTTAGCAGAATATATTAGACAAAGCATTTACATGCAAAATGTCACCCATGCCATTTGGTAGAGACACTGACCGCCAAACACCAACCACTGAACACATAAAAGTTGGATACTACCATGCGTCCAAAAAAACAACAAAGAAAATCATTGTTAAATCACAAAACCAGGGATGATTACATCAATTTCATTTAGTTTATCATGAAGCCATGTGTCTCTCCTTTCCAATAATATGTCATTTGTTCATATCTGATTATGGACCACTGAAAAATCATTGTTTTTTCATACATGGGTGAAAAGGCCTCTGTGCCAAGAAATGAAATATCAATCAACTGATCCTTATTGTGCAATCAGGTTAATCATTATGTAATTGGTACTGGTGATTAAATTCTTGTCACAAGATTTACATAACACAAGTTTCTGATTTAGATTTATTAAGAAAAAAGGAAAAAAGAAAAGAATATTTAACTTTAAGTGTTCAGTCATTGTCTGTCATTTTATGAAAGATTATTCATGAAAGATAACATTCCAAGCCTTTTCACGTGAGCACTATTTCTCTACACACAGAGACTGGCTTGTGTGTCCATGTCACACATCTCTGTGAATCATCTGGGTTCAGGCGGAGAGCAGCAACCTCATTGGTGACTCTTTGTTAAAGCCCCCGATAAATCGGGCTACCTATACAGCCGTGTTTACATTAGGGGATTAGAAGAGTTTATTTTTACTTAGGTATGCAAGCAATATCAATATTAGGCCTTCATGCATGTACTCGTGTGTACAATCAGCATGCCCTTCAATATTATATAAGCCAGGCTATTCAAGTACAACATAATGTACACTATTTATGTGTGTATACGAACTACATGGGACTACAATTCCCTGGGAAACAAAACACATATGCTTTTTATATGTTCAAAATGAGCCATTTGTTTGATGCATACACTTAATACCTTCATATATAAACATCTACAAAGTATATCTAATAGTCATTTTCAATTCCAATGGTGAAACTTGCCTGGTAATGATTATAGGGAAATCAACACGGGACAATAGTTGTACACCTTCCTGGCTTACCTCTGAAGCCTGTACCCTGTAATCTCTTTATATAGGTTAGCGAGAGCGCTGCACCTGCGCAGTTTTAAACTTTGGCGCACACTTTAACTGTTGCAATGTCTAAATGCAATGGTCCAGAGCAGATTTTAGCAGGTTGTGCAAAAGGAATGATTATTCAGTGTTCTGTATTCATATATAAATAATTGACATACCATTGGAAAGAGGAGACATGTGGCTTCCTGCTAAACTAAATCAAGTTACCATCACTGGTTTTGTAATTTTACAAAGTCTTTGTAGCGTTTTTTTTGGGACGCACTGTATAACATAAAATTGTGCATAGAACATGTATGTCACAATGTATGTTACAAGCTACTGAACAGTACAAAATCCTTTTCCATGTAGAAAACGTGCATGTATGATTAACTAAGAGACCAATTAATCAGTACCCTTTGCATTCGTTTGATTTCACTTCTTAAAAGAGAGCTTCGTTTTCACTCTTTCAAACTAAAATAAAGCTGTGAACTCACCGCGCCAATCAGTGTTCGTCGGCCAAATTTGACCGACGTTCTATATATGGCCATTCCTTCTGACGTCATCATTGAGCCCGGAATTGACCAATGACATGCACATATTTAATTAGAACGCATTTGGCGTATGTTTATTTATGTGTGATTTATTACCCAAACTGTCAACAGTACCAATCGTGGGGCGGGGCTACTAAACTGCAATATGTTCTCTACTAGGCAGAGTGTAGTTTAACTAGACTGCACGCAGGGTAATTAATCAGTGGTAATAAACTGGTAATGGTTAATTCAGCAAGACAGTGATCTAGACAATATAAGAAAATAAGGATTACACTGTACTTACAGACTTAATCAGGTGATAATTCCCAGAGGGCTAAAATTAAATGAATTAAATTAAATGTTGTCTTGTAGTTTACTTGTTCGAGAAGTTGGAGACTTAACAATATGTCACCACTTGTAGTCACTGGTATTGGTAACATACAAACATAAAGACACATTATGTAATTAGCTTTGTCATAATATTCACATCTTAATATTTATTTACATTTTTATACAATATAATAGGTTATATAACGAACTAACAGGTGTGTGTCACATATGGCTCACTGATATGTTAGTGTTCACTGTTCAGTTTATTTACATTAATAAACAACAATACAATTTTATTCATTGTACAATACAAATGATGTCAAAAATCAATCTGAATCAAATTCTCTTCTAATTTTAAAATCTTCTAAATATGTAACAACAGTTCTGTACATTGAAATTGATCTTAAAGACAATAAAATGGATTTGGTGATTTTGAATATTTCCCAATCACTAAGTAGTACATGAAATAAAAAAATTAGCAAAATTGAGGGCTTGAAGTTTCCTGGTGTATTTTGTCTGATTGTGCTATACACCCTTTTGAAGATCATTTCCTATTCATAGTGTGATTTTACGTTGTATGCATGAACATTTTCATCTTTCAAATACATATTTAGGCCTAATTTATCTTCAAATACCTTCTTCAGTGTGGTAAATAACTGATATTAAAAATACTCATAAGACATATTCTTTGGAGTTGTGTAAATATTGTTGGCTGTTAATCTGCCAACAAAGGCTCACAAATACTACTGTTCTTAGACTTTATTTAAATAATAGACAACTGAAGTCTAACTATATCAAAATAACCAATGTTTCTTTTCTAAACAAAATGAATTTCCCCCTCCCATCCCCAACAAAATTAATTTCACAAAAAACATTGATATTAGACTTGATATTTATCTTCAGAATATCATAAAAAAAATATATGTCAGTCTTTCTGGACGAAGGTCATTTTGAGATTTCTCTTGCTATGAAATTCATTGTATTTTTTCAGTGGGATTACTTTTAAGAATGAGTATTTCATCTTTATGTTATACACTGTATGAGCATTAGCAAATATAAACCTTTTAGGTATATTATTTCAAAAATATTGTATGTATTTGCTAAAAAACTATTTCCTCCTTGCGTCAGGTTAGCGGTGGCTTATTTACATAAACTCATCAACATGTGTAGTACTACATGTAGTCTACTCAAAAGAATAGCTTTTTGATATGTTCCTGAAAATAATAGTTCTGGGCATATTTTTTTAGCTCATTTATTTAATATTGTCATCCCTCTATTTTGGTATATACCAATTTAAAGCACAAATATCATGCTAGATGCACTTTGTAAAGATTTGAATTTGAAAATATGATACAATAGAATAATATGGTAAAACAAGGCAACATGCAAACTGTCCCAACCTGCAATTCTTACAGATGGCTACCGCCAAACATCAATCGCCAAACACCACCAACAAAAAAGTTGGAGACCATAACAATATGTCACCACTTGTGGTGGGGAGATAATAAAAAATTGACTGTTGTGTAACATCCAATTAAATGTTTTATAACTGGAATAATGGCCTTATTGTATTACCTAATGGCCTAATTATATTACCTCCAAAGTGTTGTAATAAGGGAGTCAAGTAAACATGCTTATTTAATGGTTTCTATAGCAATGTACCAATACACAATCATCTAATGAAATGGACTGATCTTACATCACTTTTACATTTCATAACACCACGAATATCATAATTTACGCAATCATAATACACTCATATTGAATTGTATTCTCAACTTATTAGCTGTTGTCAAAGCAGATTCAATTATTAAAGCTAAAATCAGAGATGTAGGGGGTGACAAATTGCAAGCAATATATAAAATTGACCAATTACAATTCCATAATATATGATGTAATATGATATGCATTATAAAACCATAAAGTTATGTAAGATTTAAAATGCAGTAATCGATGCATCAATTTTTTCGAAATAAATAATATCTCTGATAACTCTGGAATAAAGTGTAAAAATCAGGGAGAAAATCTCTGAAATTGAAGTTTTACAAAATTTGCTCACTTTCTGTGATTCTTCCTTTAAATAATCCTCATTCATTTTGGTTTTAATAACCAGTGCAAGCTATCATATATACATGTAAAATACATTTTCATATTGGGTACATTTCATAAAGAATGGGTTCATGTACATTCTACTGAGAGTGTCATAGTGTAAGTTATTGAAGGGCATTTGATTTGTACATTGTACAATTTTAACACATTTGTATTTTGATGAGATTCATATGAAGTGGTGATGTCCATTCATATATTCAAGAAGTACATTTATCAATAATAGCCTATAATGTATGCTACCTTGTTCAAAGAAATATGACGTGACATTCTGTATAAATATTTCAAAATCTATTCTTCATAAAAGTGATGGACGGTCTCATTTTGTTACCATTATGTGAACCCTAAAGTGGGGCGTTTTGAAAAATTCAAGGTGAGATGTAAATATATATATAATATATTATATGTTGCCATAGAAACATATTTTGTACGACTTGCTTGATTAGCTCAATTAACCATCATGGACCTAATTCCACACCTGAATTCATAGGCTCTGATACTCACAAAATATAAATTGAAAATATGAGTGCTGATATTGAATTCAGACAAATGCATTCACAAGTTCCACAAAAATAGATGAATTCATGGGTCCTAATATGAAATTAACAAGAAATCAAAGGTTCCAAGATGAGCACTCCTGTATCAGATTTCTGGTTTATCAAAGACATCCTACATAAGGCAGATATGTTTAAAGATCTCTGAGCAGGTAGAACCATAAGTATAGTATTTGATTCAAGGGTCCTGATATACAGAGATACTTATTTACAAGTCCATATTTCCAATTTCTAGGACTCTGATATCACATAAAGATCTCTGAGCAGATAGAACCATAAGTATAGTATTTGATTCAAGGGTCCTGATATACAGAGATACTTATTTACAAGTCCATATTTCCAATTTCTAGGACTCTGATATCACATAAAGATCTCTGAGCAGGTAGAACCATAAGTGCAGTATAGTATTTGATTCAAGGGGCCTGATATACAGAGATACATATTTACAAGTCTGTATTTCCAATTTCTAGGACCCTGATACCACATCTAAACATGAAGAATCACCAGGACCAGATTCAAGGGTGCCAATATTCATAAGTCCTTGTATGAGATCTCAACATGTAGAATCATCAGCAAAGTCATCGATGACATCCTCTTCAACTTCTTCGCCTGTTTCCTCATCTCCCGGGGAGCCTGCCCGGAAGCCATTTATCTCTGCCCCCGTACCCCGACCCAGCGGGATCTGTAGGGCACTATGCACTTGTTCTATAGTCCTCATGTTAACATAGTAACCTAGGTTCACTTTAGGGATCTTGGCTCTCATCTCCTCCATACATGCATATGCCTGAAAGATGAATTAATTGGAATAATGATGGACTTGTCTGTGATTAAAGAATAATAGCAGCGATCTCCCCATCATTAAAGCAATTGGGTGCAGCACCCACCTGAGACTTTGAAAATAGTCTTGCAGAATTAATGACTCGAACAGAAATCTAGAGTCTAATCTTTCAAAATACTAAATAAATGTATACATAGAATAATCTACTTTTACAAAATAGATGTCACCTGTCATCTTTTGTATTTGTGTTACTATGAATATAGGAATTACCAAATATAAGAATGAAATGATGTGATATCTTTTGTTCATACTAGTTATCCAACAGAAACATATTTTTTCTAAATTATTAATGATAGCACATATTTTACTCGGTCAACAATTTTGAGCACAATCTGCCACTTGTTACAGATGCTGAATACCAACCACCTCACAGCGACCACAAAAAGTTTGAGACCATAACAAAATATCGCCATCTCTAATAGGAATAAAACACTTACAGCTTTCCAATGCTCCTTCTTGGCATAATGTTCAATCATGAATCCAAAAACGTCTCCTACTCTAACAGCTGAATCCAGTTCTGGCTCTTCAAGTAAGACCTGACAGGCTTTAACAGCTTCATCTTTATCCTCATCATAGGCTCTAGAACCAGAATTTATTGTTTTATATCATAAAGCAACCATAATGTGTGGATGTAGGCTTTACTGAATGTATTTGTTTTTTTATAAGTGCTATTCCATTGATCGAGCACTAACACAAAGAGAGGTCTAGATATCAAAATAAAGTGAAACCTGTAAAGTGGAACACCTCTCCAAGTGGATCACTTTTCAGAGACCAATTGACTTAATGTTGAATGAACCTGTGGAATAGTGGAATATCTCTCAACTTGGGTCCCAAGCGGAACACTTTTTAGAGGTACCAAAGGTGTTCCACTTTTAAATTTACAGATTTTACTGTAGTAAACAAATATAAATTTCAATTAAATGCAAATCAATTTTCAGTATATACAGTATAGCATTTTGGATCAAAATTTACCTTCGTGCAGTGACAAACTTCTTCATGAGTGTGATCCTCGTCTTCAAGGCTGCCAGTTTCTCCTCTTGTTGAGTCTGATTCTTCATCTTGGCTTTAGTGAGACATTTGTAGGCTTCAGTCAGGGCCCCAAGTGCTTTGTCATAGTTCTGGTATTCGTCTACTTCAACCTGGAAATATTGCACATATACAGTATATACAAGTATTATATCATTTCTGGAATCCCAATATTCTGATTGGTCAATGTAATAACATGTGATCAAAAATACCACAATATTTCTCTATTTTGACAAGAATAATTTATACAAAATAACATACCATTGCACAGGCGTCATAAAATCCCGAAAGTGAGTCTAGGGCACGTCCCTTGGTATAAAACCCTATAATGTTTTTCATGATCTCGGGATCTTTTCGCCAGTCCAACGATTGGAGATAATTAGCAGCCATTACATAGATCTCCTTCTGACGAGACACCCCAGCGAAGAAAATGATCTTTTCTGTATCCCCTGATTTTAATAGAGATTTCATAGCCTGGAAATTACAAGGAAAAAAACATTTTTTATTAACATTTAATATGTCATATATATAAATTTAATACTTTTGAAAGTGGCATAAAAAGCATATAAACAGATATGTTTGATGAAATATATAATTCATATAACAAGAGAAGAATAGTATCAATAGAGGGCAGCACTGTACATGTTACATCTAATCTAATTCAGCAAAAACATGATTTTGTACTCTAAATCAAAATAAAATACTAACAGCAGGGTTTATCTATTGATATAACTTGTTTAACAAATGTTAAATTGATTAAATTTGTTGAATTTTGATTGTATGATATTAAATGTTATAATATATGAACTTGAAATAAAAAATATGATTAATAAAAAAAATATAACTTGTTTCGGACTATTGTCATGAAACAAAGAGAAAAAGAGAATCAAATTAGAAATCAATGGAACTAGCATTAACCCGTATTTAATTATTTTTCAGCATTTTTATCACACAAACATCAACCCAGATTGTTTTACTTATAAGTGGGTAAGGTTGTAAATACAATGCACAATGTACCTTCATTTTATTTCCAGCCTGTGTGAACTTCTTAGTTGCTAAATGGTATTGTCTTTGGTTCATACACACTTCAGCTATTCCTTCTAATATCCTAGAGTGTAAAGAAAAACTTCAATTAAGATCATGCCATCTTTCTTCAAGAAAACCAGTATAATTTTTAAAATAAAACAAATGTTATAGTGATAGCGTGGACAAAACACGACAAATAAATCAAGGTTATGATAGCTTAAATCATCTGAAGAAAATGCTGCCTTCAGTTTAAAACCAAAAACCAACTCCAATGCCTTCAGCATTCTTTGAGCTTAAGGATAGAACAAAGCCAGATACTTTATTTCCTAAATATAACCCTTGCATGTTGTGGAATAATAGAAGAATTAATAGATCACCTACCTGTTTCTCTCATCAGTTTCATTCTCAGCCACCCCTTTAGCAGGTGTCAGTTTCTCCACTAGTTCCTCTGTCATTGGCACTTGGTGTTGGTGGCATAGTTTTAGGGCCTCAATGTACTAGAAATCACAGATGTACAAAATACAGTCCAGTATACTGGGGATTATTTGGGCATCTTTAGCCACACCATTGATAAACAATTTAAAGTAACAATGGATAAGGAGGATAACTAATTCATAGCATAATCAAAATCATGGTTGATGAATGTTGTAATGAAAATTCTTTTTTTCTATATTTTCCCAGAAATAATAGTGAATGGTACTGATATAACATTTCTAGATAAAAATACATGCATATGAACCCTGTACACACCACAATTTGAAAAGCAGCATCAAGCTTCATAATCTATGACAGAATGGTACACTATTTTGTCTTACCTTTTTGCCTACTGCAAGCAGATCCACTGCTTTATCGAACTGTCCATTCTCCATGAAGAAGTCAGCACACCTCTGCAGCAGTTCAGGGTCAGTAGTGTCAGTGAGGTCCTCTGCAATGTGTTGGAGAGCCCCTAACTGACGACTTTGGAATGCAAGATCTAGTGCTTTGGCAAAATTACCACCCTAAAGTAATCAATAAAAGGGAATTATTTGCATGGAAAATAGATTATATATGGCTTTACCAATATCTCGGATAAGCTATTAAATATATGATCATTTGTAAATTAAGTGTTTTTCTACCTATTTTACTTAGTAAAGTATGACCTCTACCATTTTCTTGAATAAGTGATGAAATCATAAGCATATGATGCTTTTCTACAGTGTTTAATTAGTTACCTTATGATATAGCATTACTGCTTTGTCCATGCCATCGTGTTTGTTCTCATAGTACCTTGCTGCCTCTATCATATGCACTGGGCTGCTAACAAGGGCCAGATTCATCAACTGGTCTTCATACTCGTTCTCCTAAAATATGATGTCTAAATTAACACCCATGCTCTCATCTACATCCTCTTATGAACAAAATTCAAATATGAATATAAAAGTAAGACTTGAATATAAAAGTAAGAGTTTTTATTTGCCATAAGAAATTAGTTTTTATTTGTCAGGTTTAGTATACATATCTATTGTATTCGTTTATTGAAATCACAAAGGATGTGACATTTCGATATTTTAAAATTTCTTCATACCTTGCATAGTCGTATGGCATTTCCATAGGCCTGGGCTCTGGTGAAGAAGTGAATGGCTTGTTTGATTTCATTGTTGTTCTCATATTGTCTTGCTAGATGATAGCACGCTGCTCTGTCCCCAGTCTCATTACAGATCTCAGCTGCCTATAATGTACGATAACAAAACATACAGTACAGATTTTAGTCGAGTCTTGTCTTCAACATTCACTATTATCACATACTATGTAGAAATCTAGTGATTTGATTGGTTGCTTTCCAGTATCACATAAATTTCATATGATACGAGCACACATACCCCACGTTGTACAACTTCATTCTATCCTTTCCTAATTCATAATGACGTCACATATAGCCTATGTCATTATTTCTTAGAAATGACGAAATTCTTCATTTGGGGAACTAGAAGTTAGAACGTCAAAGAAAGCTACCAATCAAATCACTTAAATTCTACATAGTATGTGATAAAATTGTCATCAGCATTTATAGCGTATGTGATATGGGAAATATTCCACTCAGTAAAAAAGTATCACCACTCAAGCTGCGCTTTCGTGGTGATACAATTTTTACTTTCGAGGAATATTTCCCGTATCACATGCTGAAATGTGTAATGACTGATATTTTATATATATTTAATTCTGTTAAGGGGAATACCTTTGCATATTTATCAAGTGATATTCCACAATCAAACAACAAACTATCGATATTTAAAAGTAAAATTACACTGTACTAGCTCAATCTTGGGGAAATATAAAATTAAAATAATACTGGACTAAGTTGCAACTGGTGAATATCATTTGATATTTCGTAGTCATGCGTACAGCCGTTGAATATCTATTCTTATTTCCCATTCCCTTGTACGAAAGATATAGACCAATCAGTAAATAAGGAATATGACAGTGATAAAATAATGTGTGATAATTGATGGTTCAAAGACATTTTGGGTACTCTGTAGGTTTTAATAGCATGATAATATTTATCTCTATAGCAACTTGAACATACCTTGTCCAGGTTGCCACAGTAACAGTAGACTCTGACTAGAGAGAGATAGTCGGCTGCAGCCTCATAGAACTGCAAAGCTGTCTCCATCTCACCTGCACTCTCCATGTATTGGGCCCACCATTTACGTAATTGCCTAAAAAACATCAAGGTTTAATGTCATTTGCTTCATTATCGAATTTTGTGACTGTACTTCGACTAATATTTGACTTTATTTTCTTAAAAAACATTCATAAATAATCAAATTTTCATTTAGTTTGGCCTGACACAATTTTAAACCTTTCTAAAATACAATCCATGATTAATGATTTCTTGAACATAAAAAAACTAAAAAATATAGTCCCATTATTGCTTACTTGTCTTTATTCTTGACAATATAGTTCTCTAACATCTGTGTGTCATCAAACAACATCCTTGGAACCTCAAACCTGTGCGTCTCAGATTTTTCATAGCTGAAAATCATGAACTTCATAATGTCACAATATATTATGGCATAAGGAAGCTATGTTTTAAACAATTGTAAAGTACATATATGATAGAAAACTGCCCAAGTGGATCCATTCTTTCTTTGTTTTAAATAAAAATGTAATTTTTTCTCAAAGTTCACCAGTGTGTTTGGAATTTGACCAATAAGGATTATCATATCCCTCCATGCATGTATGACATCTTTAAAACATTAAATAGTTTATTTCACCACAGTAATTTAGGATAGAAATGTATTAACTTGTTGGCATTTATTAGCATTGATCTGGGCTTTCCTAGTATGTAATATCTTGTAGTAATAAACCCAATAAAAAAATATATTTACTTTGGAATGGCCCCATTGACGTCTCCTTTGGTCTCTAGATGTTTGCCATAGTTGTAGTACGTTGTCCTCAGATGTACCCTGTCATACATCTCAGCTGTCTCCATGGCCTTGCCCCATTGGCCATTGCTCTGGTAGAAGTCATTCAAAAGATCATACCGTTTACAATTTTTCAGTAGCCTCACTGCATCTTCCTGCAACAAAAATAAATATTTAATTGATATATCATACATGGTTACTGTATTAATAACACATTACATTGGTGACTTTCATATAATGTTACAAAATAAAAGGTATGTTAATAAGGAGCCTATATGTATTTCCCTTAAGTAACAGTGGGAACAGAACATCACTAATATATTTTTCTGGAATATTTCATCAACAATTTCTCAATTTACAGCAATCAACTCAATAAAATCTCTCAGGACCAATGACATTTGGAATAAGTCTAATTTGATCTCCATAGGACCCAGTTAAATATAGATACAGTAAATTGTCTCATTTTGATAACACATGTGATTCAACTACCACTATCAGATTTGTTAGATCAATAAATTACTGGTATGTGACATGTGCAAATAGAGACATGTGATATGCTGTGAGACTTAAAAAACAACATCTGACCCATATGTGCCTCGTGATAAGTACGCAACTTTGTAGACTAATTAATTCTCAAAATCTATAAATCTGAAGTGGTTTATAGACACTTGAAGTGAGGGAGGGCAGGGATAATAGTATATATTGCTGAGAAGTCAAAGACGTAAAATAGTGATTATTGGGTCACATTGATCAGAAATATTGTAAACGAATAATTGCAAGGAGCCAACCAAGGGCAAACGTAATACCCGGAACGTTCGCAAATTGGCGTTCGTTTTTTTACCACATCCGATTTGAATTAGCCAATAAATGATAGGGGTGCGAGAACTTGAAATTTTTTCTGACAATGTGTCTAAAGTCCAGAGCTGAATATGTCAGCACATGTTGATGATTGGTAAGTAAAAACAATCTATCCTTATAACGTAACATATTTTCAATAGTTTAGTGAATTATGGTCAGGAGCCGTTTGGAAACAACAGTTAAAACGAAGATTGTCCGCATCCGGGTCTTCTCATTTGAATAATCAGGTCACCTTATACTGCGCTATAGAGCTGGGTAAGGGGGGTAAGACTGACTGACAGAAAACACAATCTCCACTTCAAGTACATTTCCCTGTTTATTCTGTTCGTATTAACCCTTATTTACATATCATATATTTAAGTCAATCAATTATGTAACTATTGATGTGAATGGATTGCAATGTCATGGAGTAAAATAACCGCAAAACGGTACAGAGAAAGGTAAAAAAAGAGAAAACCTACCCCTCTATACACCATTGTCTAATGAAGACCAAACAAAGCCCCGGATGTTGTGTCGTTTCTCGTTTCGTTTGGTACACAACTTAGCCCCAGGTATTAAATAAGCCCTTGATATGACCTCATATTATTTGGGAAGTTACACAAAACAATACACACTCCTAACTGAAATATTCCCTTAATATTTTTACCAAGTTAATATCATGATATGTAAATGTTTTATTTTACTTACATGTAAATCCAGTTGCACTGCCAAGCAAGCAACCCTGGCATCTAATTCTGGTTCAGCAACTGACTCACGTAAAGCTTTAGCCCCTCTAGCATGCCCCATGTTGCCCAGACAGACAGTGGCGACATCTAACCTTCTTGTCTTCACACACATCTTAGCCATGTTCTCCCAAACACTTTCACTGGAATCAAAATAAGACTATTAAAGAATCAGAATGTAACTGCTTCTAAACAATTCACTGCATTTATCATATGGGGCTTTTCATCATTATATTCTATTTAATGAAGGAGATCATGACTGAAAGAATTGACAGATTGAGAGCTTAAGTGGTTAGGACATAAAATGAAAATAAATCATCTCATTTCACCTTGAAAAAGTACCATCAATGTCACATATAAATTAAGAACTTCGAAGAAACTCTTATCTTGTTCAAAATAATGTGAATATATTTCATTTTCAGCATGTCCCAGGCTAGTACGTAATCTAACACTTGAATATACATCCTCAAGTTTGGCAAGTCTCCAACTACATGTATACACTTTGGAATGATATAAAAGATTTAGGCCATCGACAAAGAATTTATTTGAAGATTCAAGGAGACATCGATCATGACGGAGCAAATGTGACATCGCCATTGTGGTAGTCACTTGCTGCATATGAAATAAGGTAGGCCTCAGCTTAGTATTTCATTTCCCCAAATTTCAATTAAATAAACAAATAAATATAATTCATTATTTGACTAATTTATTTACTTCTGATTAATTACTTTTGATCATTGTTAATATGTGTCAAAATAGAGAAAAATGAATAAGTGAGTTCCTCTCATTTTACTTTTATGTGTATTGAATGATGCATAACATGGCTGTAATTAAAGGATTTGGATAGTAATATAATTTGAAGTACAATACTTGAACTAAGCTCTGGTTTTATTCCTTTAAGCTCTCATGTAGGTTTAGGGTGGTTACAATATTAAAAATATTCATATACAGGGTATCAAATGGTGACCATTCTCCTCCATTGCAAAAACGAATCTATTTGTTAAATTCACATATATACTTTCTTTCATCAATAGAAAGAGCCTACAATTCTGAATAAGGAGTGAAAATACAAATAAGGCACTTCCCATTAATAGTGTTTATGCCAAAGGGATGTAGAGACATGCTAGTCAAGGAGGTTGAAACATGGAAATGAGTGCTATTTAACTTCTTCAATTGATCTTACCATTTGAGGTTAATATGCAACGACAAGTAAAACCCTGATCTCCTCCTATGTACAGAGTGGGCCAAAAAATGCCACTTTTTTCAAAATGCTATAACTTTTTCATTTTTAATATATTTTCATAATTTGCATACCAAATGAGACTTGAGGTTGTTATCTAGCCATGGATCATAAATTATACACTTTTACTTGAATAAAATATGTCACCAGCATCTCACTTAAACATTTGGTGTGCCATGAGAAATAAGCATAATTTGCAAAATGTTCCTGAACTTATACAGCCTGATGATCGCCAAGCTAATAGCCCTGTTGCAAACCCCAGTGAGTATAGGGTATGGGAAGGTCTCCAGAAGATTGTATGAGGCATCCAATCTAGAAAATTGCTCAACTAAAGCTGGCAATTAAGACAGGTTGAAAAAAACTTAGCTAACATTTCATTGATACTGCAATGTCAGCAAGGCGACTAAAACTAAAATATATCATCAACTAGGGTGGCGGACCAATTGAACTCCCCTTTTAGATCAAATATAATTCAAGTTGAAGGACTTGTTACATTATATTATTACTAAGAACCCTTGGCACTTGGCAAAATTTGGGGTATGTAGGTTGGAAAATAAAAAAGTTGTAGTGTCTTAAAAAAGTGGCGTTTTTTGGCCCACCCTGTATAATGTTACATCTATCTAATCTTTTCCAGAATTGTTACTTTCAAAAAGTATCAGTTACTTTTAATCACAATCAAAATGCCCAAAATCTTTCTTTTGTTTCAATCAACAATAATATTATGTGCCTAAAATTGCTATTAAATTCAAATGCATTTGAAATATGAAGGTAGGTATAGTAGCTAGCAATTTATTCTTTGGATGGTGCATCATTTGAACCCTGGAATATGGCATGGAACTGTAATGAACTGCTAGTCCAAGATAATGTCAGTTTATGTCAAGGAGAGGAAAGGGTGCTCCTGCATAATTAATCTTTATATCATTTAAAACTGATTTATGTTTGTAGGCAATCATTTATAAATAAGATGTCAAGGACTGTCTCAGCATTCAAGTGAAGTTCAAGTGCTTATTTTTCTAGAACATTTTAGTCACATCGCCTCATGACATCATAAATAACTTATTTCAAGTGCTGTCTACTTATCATCTTAAAAATAAATGATTATGTACTTATAGATAAAAGCAAACTCCAACACCTCAACTTCTTGAGTACAATCGTGACTGTCCAAAAAAGATAAAATGGCATCTTCGAGTCCAAAAAATGCTTTGATTGATGAATATCAAGAGTTGTTGACCTGTATTATCTGCACTGGGACATTGAAAAATGCAAAATCTCTCAGCTGTGGACACTCCTACTGTAAGAACTGTCTTAAATCTTGGATCGAGAAAAATAAGGGGAAAAGAGATAAAACATTTCCATGTCCAATATGCAATGCCAAACATGAAATTCCAAAGAATGGTGTTGATGACTACCATACTAATATTACCATCAACTCTATGGTTGAAATCCTCGAAAACCAACTGTCACGCGATAAGAACTCGAAGGCTAATTGCGATATCTGTGCCCAGGAAGGTGATGATGTGCCAGCCGTATCACGTTGTGTCGAGTGTGCTGAAAACCTATGCCAGGCATGTAACAAGTCACATAAGCGTTCCCAAGGTACCCGATCCCACAACATGTATGATTTGACTGGAGATCCAGAGAAAGATGCAAGACTAGCGCTGGACAACTATGTCAAACGCAACATTCAATGCCCGAAGCATCAGGATCAGCCACTAAAGTTTTTCTGTTCAAAAGATAAAGCCATCGTATGCACACATTGCTGTATCACGGAACATCCAGGGCATGCTTGCCAAGCCATCGAAGAAGCAGCTGATAAAGAGAAACGCAACATTTCTGCCCTATTTGGACTAGCCAATCAAAGAAAGGAATTGTTCGAGAAATTCATCCAGGATTCAAGTGACAATCTCCAATCATACGAGGGAAACAGACAGTCTCTAATCAAAGATATTGATACAGATCATGCTGCAAAATGTAAACAACTGGGTGAGTACTTCACAAAGCTTCATAAAGAACTAGATGAACAGTTGGCAAAACAACTAAAAGAACAAAATGAAAATCATGCAAAACTTCTTAATGAAGCTAAAGCTGTAGCCAATGAGAAAACAAAGAAGATTCAAGCCAACCAAGACCAACATGAGCTAGAAAAGGGAATAGCTGAAAGTACCCTTCTTCATCTTACAGCTCTGATAAAACACGGTCATCCTGTTGACATCATGAATTCAAGCACTGATACAGCGAAGAAGCTCCAAGATTGGGGAAGAATACCTGAAGAAGATGAGGACCCTGTGGACAAATACACGTATCAACCTGGAACATTAGATCCTGCTAACATGGTGCAATTACACCATAGAGTCATTCCTGAAACCCTAGATACAAGGTGCATAGTAAAGAAAACTAGATATTGTGATCCCAAGGTAACAAGAAAAGTTAATCTAGGTGACAAGAATCCAGGTGTAAAGGAAATATATGGTGTCACAAAAGGGTACAACAATACCATTGTATTATGCCATGAATTATCAGCTGGTATGTCCAGCTATACTGCTGACACCTTCACCAAACAGCACACAGCCAATGGTAATTTCTATGATGTATGTTGTATACAGGGTAACTTATATGCAGCAACTGATTACAGTAACAAATGTATCAGCATTTACAATCACAACCTTGTCCACCAGAAGAATATAGGGAAATTCAAATACCCCTGGGGTATATGTGAAGCACCAGGTAAAGGACTGCTAGTTGTTGACATCACTGACAAGTGTGTATATCTTGTTGATTACAATGATGGAAAGATACAAGCTACTATTGGCAAGGGTCACCTCACAAACCCATACTATGTTACAATAAATAGTAAAAGCACTGTGTTTATATCAGAATTGGGTGCACATTGTGTGAAAGGATTCACAATGCGGGGAGAAGAAGTCAATCAGTATGGTGGTACAAAAGGTGGAGGACCTGACCAACTTTGTGCTCCAGAATGTGTCTGCATTGATCCTGATAACAACCTTATCATTGCTGACAGAAACAACCAAAGAGTTGTATTAGTTGACAAGAACTGTAAATTCATCAAGTACTTGCTTGTATCAGAGGATGGTATGAAGTATCCACATAATGTTATAATAAACAATGAAGGTAATCTTATTGTTGGAGACCAGTACAGTGGAGACCTGTTCGTCATCAGGTATAAGCAGTAATTGGACATGAATATCAACATGGATATGAATAGCTATAGTACTGATATATGAATTGTTAACATGTATACAAACGGCAATATGAAATGTTAACATGGATATGACCTCAGCATTGATACATGGACTATGAATAGATAACAATAAACTAATCAAAAGCAAGAATTTAAAACAGTAATTTACAGTTATCTGATATGAATACATCATAGGAATACCCCATCTTCTGTTGTTGCTTCAAATAGGTGTTAGCAGTTAACTGATTGACCATCTTGAACAATGTTATCATTATGTTTACTGAGAAATAGTTAATTTGCTATTAAGACTACGGTGCAAAGTTATTTATATGATTCTATGATATCAAACTACAAAAACAGCATTTTGAAAAAACATTTTAATTTAGATTAGTCACACAGACTCTAATTAGATTATTCTATTCTGATATTATTTATGAGATATACTGACAGTTTGGTTATCGTAAATTACTAAATATTATAAAACAATTATACAGGGTGTCAAAAAACAACGGCACCCCCCCTACAGCAAAGAGTACTTAATGTTACATGGTGTGTCATACCTCAATTTCTAAAAAATGTCTATGATTTTAACAATATGTATCAGCACAAGTGTCGATGGGAAAGTACCCAAAATGGTTACAGAACACAAAAAAGAAAACAGTGTCTAATCCCCCCCTCCCTCACAAGTTTTACAAGTAAACACTATGTGGTGATGTGGTGGGGACATAAAAAGCATGCATACCTCCTGATCAATTTAATAGCCTTGAATGCTTCATCCATATTCCCTATAGTCAGATAGAAGCTAAAGTTCATCATGGCATCACGCGCATTCTTATCTGCATCCTCTAGACCAATGAAATCACGCATAGTACGTCGTGAAACAGCCTTTGATGTGAAAGATGGCGCTGCAGTGGTCTGTGGACGGTTCATGCTCTCGTCTAGTGCAGCATTGGCATCGGCTTTGTCTGTATCTTCAGCCTATAAAATGGTTTTATATTAGTTTTCTGTTTTCCCAACTAAACTGTATACAAAGATGTCGTTATTTCACCCGTACGGGTATTTGCCAGTTCTGAGAGTAAAATTCTAAACAAGGTTAATTTTCAAAAAGAAGATGAGTTAACATTTTCAAAGGTGACCTTGGCCTATCAAAGTCTGCTAATGTTTAATATATATTGTTTTTAAAGGTTTATTTTATACTTACAAGTTTATGGGTAACATGAGTTTGAAAAGTGTTCCACTTGGAGAGGTATTTAACTGAACAGGTTTTATTCAAATAACCCACCAGACCATTTACAAAAGCTGATACCCTGGCATCACTTACCTTTCTAGCAAAGTAGTAATAGGGCACCTGCATACCAAGCATAGAGCTGTGAGACTTCTTCATAGAGAAACTGTCTTGAATGAGGACCCCATTCTCTGGTGTTACGAACAGAGAAACGATCATCATTTCTGGCTGAAATAAAAAATAACACGATCATTTCTCAACAGTGCAAATAATAACGGTCATTTTGTTTAAAAATTACGAGGGTTGTTCAATAATTGTTCAGTGATGAGCCTGAGGTAGACCAAAACATTGATGATGCAAGAGACATACAAAGTTGTTCTGCTTATGAAAAGCCTGAATCCCTTTCAGTTTTTTTTTAAAGAAAACTGATCAAATCTCAGATACAAATTAACATTAGTTTTTCTGTCGGTATAAATATCTCTAAAAGAGGAAAATACATATTCATTCATATCTGTGAAATGAACTACATTTGTATATGTGAATAACACGGGGTCTATAAAGGGGTTATAGAGTAAATGTAATAGTATATTTAGGCAATTAAACTGAACCTACCGGTTGTTCTAGAGTAGCCCTAGACATGGATGATGTAAGAGAAATACTTTGGTTCAGCTTGCTCTGTTGGTTAGGTAATGATTTAGTCTCACAGACCAGTAGTTTAGTCTCCAATGGATCCCAGAAATGGGAGATTGGGAATCTACCTGCAATATCACGAGCTGCTTGGTTCTTTCCTCTGAAATAGGAATAAACAATGTCTCAAAAGAACAATATATAAAATTGTAACAAGTCAATGTGGCAGATGAGGCCATAACAAGGGACTAGGAGACATTTAAACTAACTGATTTCATAGTCTGAGTTTTGACAAAAGAGACTTAGTGTGCTCCTTGCTATTGACCAAAAATAAAGCATTCATCAAGGTTTGTTGAAAGGTCTGGCCATTTACCCAGGCACAAAGAACTACTCTAGAACATTGCAAGTGCTCTGAGACCCAAAGCCACTGGGAATTGCGCTTTTGAAAAAATTGGCCTCATTTAAAAGAGGGACGTAATATTATCTTGTATTGAAGGGTCTGTACCCTGAATTACAATTGAATTTATACAAATAAATATTGTGAAATTGTGGATGTAAAATTTAGAATGTACATTTACCTAGACCTACTATAAATGCATCTTATACATTACATTATATAAAATGGTGCATGTGCATACATGTATAACGCATTAAATCAAATTAAATTAAATAATGTTCTGTCAAAATAAAAAATAACAAGGGAAAACATGAAGCTAATTTTAATCATAAATTGATTATATACAGATGCCAATCCTAAAATCAATCAAGCATGCAGAGGAATTTTATATTAATCCAGCATTGAATGGATAAAGATCAAGATTTTTCCAATTGTTTCAAATATTTGAATGATTCATCATAATACCGTACCGACAAATAAGTCATGACAGAAAAAAATCATGGAGCCTGCTAGAATATTTCTCTTTTAGCCACTTGACACTTTCAGTTTTCTCCTCTCAGAGAACAAAATCAGATTTGCCAGATCATTTCGACTTTGTGTACATCCATATTATAATATGGGATTTTCAAGTACGACTGTATGTAAATGGTTAGTGCTGAATAATTTCAATCAATCACAAATCTTAAACCAGTCTATGTTTGAAACTGCCAGAGAGCAATAAATCCAAGATTAAGCCTGGGGAATATTAGGGTTTTGTTGATATTTGGGTTTTACTAATTCTAGGGTTTGGTATGTATGTGTTACAATTTCCTAAAGTCACCTATAATAAATGCTGTGTTACGTCAGGAAAAGGGGAAGTCAACAGTAACATGCAAGGTGGTTCGATGGGGATGGAAGTGGGAAACATTTCATTCCACTCATCAGAAAGAGGGAAATATACTCAGTCAGTGGGGACATGCAAGGTGGTTCAACAGGGAAGGAGGTGGGAAACATTTCATTCCACTCATCAGAAAGAAGGGAAATATACTCAGTCAGTGGGGACATGCAAGGTGGTTCAACAGGGAAGGAGGTGGGAAACATTTCATTCCACTCATCAGAATGAAGGGAAATATACTCAGTCAGTGGGGACATGCAAGGTGGTTCAACAGGGAAGGAGGTGGGAAACGTTTCATTCCACTCATCAGAAAGAAGGGAAATATACTCAGTCAGTGGGGACATGCAAGGTGGTTCAACAGGGAAGGAGGTGGGAAACATTTCATTCCACTCATCAGAAAGAAGGGAAATATACTCAGTCAGTGGGGACATGCAAGGTGGTTCAACAGGGAAGGAGGTGGGAAACATTTCATTCCACTCATCAGAATGAAGGGAAATATACTCAGTCAGTGGGGACATGCAAGGTGGTTCAACAGGGAAGGAGGTGGGAAACATTTCATTCCACTCATCAGAATGAAGGGAAATATACTCAGTCAGTGGGGACATGCAAGGTGGTTCAACAGGGAAGGAGGTGGGAAACATTTCATTCCACTCATCAGAATGAAGGGAAATATACTCAGTCAGTAGGGACATGCAAGGTGGTTCAACAGGGAAGGAGGTGGAAAACATTTCAAATTCATGCTGGGTGGTGTTGGGATAACAATATACATTATGTAATACCTAGAGGGCTTCTTAGAGCCAGGGGGCTTATGTGACCCTGGTCTAAACAGCATATACTTATGTGACCTGGCAGGTTTAGCTCTTCTACAAGTGAGACACATTCATACAAGGGACATCAGGTAATACACAATTAAATGGAAAAATAATGGAAAATTCAAACATGTTTAGGACAACAAAATCTCAAATAAAATAGAGTAAAAGAATTAATTCATATATGATACAGCATTTGTTGAAAATATTCAACTAAATGAGGTTAAAAAAGGTAGTTAACAGAAGTCAACAATAATGATGATAGAAATATGTTAAATAAAGACACATTACATTTAAAGAATTATACAAAAAATAAGAAGAATACAACAAATAACAAAATAAAAACATACAAGGTTTTGATATATAAAGATCACTTGAAAGTATCTTTAATGTTAGTTAGTTAATGATTCAGAAAATAGCGCGCCCAAGAAAATCTGTATTTCATGAATTGCTACCGAGTCCTACACTTGTGTAAAGTGCATTGTTCTTTTTACTATGACATCATTATATCCATGGATACAACTCATTTAGGAATTTTTAACCATTCAGAACAAGATCTGTTAATAATCTCCAGACTGCTAGCACTATCATTGAATAAAATACTACACTTTATTTGCCATAACTTGAAAATATAATTATATGAAACATATTTCCCACAACAGACTGTAAAAAGATTACAGAAAAAAGTGTGCCCAATAAAATCTAAATTTCACGAGGTGATGCCTGAGTTACACAGACAATAAGGGATGTCATTAACAGAAGCATGAATAATACACTAATTAGTCATAATTTGTAAATACAAGTACATTTTGTATTTGAAACATATTTCTCACAGCATACCTCTCTTCTGCAGTTTCCTGATCACTTTCCATTGTGCCAGGAGCGAAGTCATCTTGTTCTCCCTTACCAGTCTCAAAGTTAAAGTACTGTAGAGTGTCTAGTTCAGTGTCCCAAATATACAGTTTACTGTCTGTGCTACCATTGGGCTGGAGAACATACGAACATACACAGATTATAAGTTAAGTTTTGCATACATTTGTTCTTACATTAGATACATACATATTTTCTAACATAAGACAAATGTGTATTTTATTGGATTCTAATATACAGGAACATTTATGAATATATTTCTGAAAATATTCACCTTTTTAATACAAAGACTGACTTTATTTCCAGCACAGTTACACCTGAGTGATACAAATCCTCCAAAATGTGAGATGACGTCAGTCATATTCTTTGCAGTTCCTATCTGCTTGGCCTCCCTAGAACACATAAGAGACAAATCAGGTGATTTCATCCAAAATTCAAAAGAACAAGGCATTAACATGTCAAAATGTGACCATTTGGTAGGAATGCATTAACATGTCAAAATGTGACCATTTGGTAGGAATGCATTAACATGTCACTATGTGACCATTTGGTAGGAATGCATTAACATGTCAAAATGTAACCATTTGATAGGAATTACAAAAGTGTAAGTACATCGATGCTGAATGATGATCAAAAAATAATATGGTGAAAAGAGATGTCAGCTATTAATTCTTTAAGTTGAAACACTAAAAACCAAAATTTTAAGTCAGATTTTCATCAAACACTGACTTCTTCACATATGCATTATATGAATCCAGTATTTGAAAAAATACAATCTCAGACTGGTATAATAAAACCTCAACTCTCATATCAATCATTGGCCTAAAGTATACAGAACATAGTTTTTCTTTTACCATACCTTCTGGATAAGTCAAATAGTTTAATGATTCCATTCTCTGTGCCGACTATGAGGAAATGTGGTGAACAGACTTCCAATGTTACAGGTTGGCCCTCTACCTCTGTGAAACTAATCAGCTGCTTTACGGTGCCCTGGAGACATATAAACACATCAAATAATGACTTCAATTCACTCGTGACAGACACACGCCCTTTTGCAAAAGACAACAATGTATTGCCTTTTAAGTTTGATAAAAAACAGATGGAACTTGATTACGTCTAGGATTATAGGATTACCTTTGGTAGGGCAGTGCGATATGCTTACGATGGGTTCTATATATCGTAACCAATAATATATAAGGGTTATGTACTGGGAGGTTTTGGATATGGGGTTTATCCAGAGGGAGATATGCATATCTCACGAGGGATGAACCCAATATCCTAACCAGCCGTAGATAACTACTTTATCCTATACCAAGTAGAGTTTTCAGGGGCATATGGCCATTTTAATAGTACAAGGTGTAAAAATAAACAAATCATTCATATGCAAAGTCATTTTATTGCATTTCCACTACTTACCGGAAACGGGAAGATATGCACCGAAGCGGGAGATATGGAGGTTCTGGATATGGAAACCTCAAAATCAGGATATGGGATATCTTACCAACTTATCTCCCTAAAACTCTACTTGGCATAGGATAAAACTTCTTATTTACAGCTTGGGAATCAATCAATTGGAAGCATTCTTTTCAAAAGCATGACATGGTGTTTATCTTACAAACCTTATTTTATTATTTATTTAAGGGCAAGATACATTCTGTATTTCTTGATCATTTTCACCCCATGATTTTGGGCAAACATGCTATTAAAAATAAGTATTCAACCAAAATGAATAAGGAAATTGTATCACAAAACATGTAAACAAATTGGGTAAAATTTTGACATAATTCGGGAGACCCTTAAAATGTACACTTAAAGCAAAGAATTAAAATAAAACCAGGGAATGGAACTTATCTCTATATCCACTCCATAAAGAACTCAGCCAAGGAAAACGTACAATGTACAATGCACCAGTATCTAACCCAAAATAAACAAGAGAAAAAGAATACCCACCTGGAATGTTCGAACTTGAACTTTGGCCTGTTCTATTGTGTAGACATTTTGCTCATATAAGCAGCATATGGTGGATTCAGTGGAAAATGTCCCTGCTGCGCGTATAGTAGATTTGTCCCCTGTTATTTCATACACGACTAGCTTCCTGCCATTCCATATTGCAACATTTTCCTGAAAATATTCAAAATTATTGTCAGTTTGTACTCATATATTCTTGGTTTGTTTTTCAGCTATTGTCAGCTATTGTTCCTGTTTCGTACCACTGTAATTATAAGTTAACATTGCAATATTTCCTAAAAATGACCAATGACATTGAAATCGGAAGTTTGAGCTTTTGCATTGTCATTTAAAGCTTTTGTATTGTCAGTTAGAGCTTTTGTATTGTCAGTTAAAGCTTTTGTATTGTCAGTTGGGCCTTTTGTATTGTCAGTAAAGCTTTTGTATTGTCAGTAAAGCTTTTGTATTGTCAGTTAAAGCTTTTGTATTGTCAGTTAAAGCTTTTGTATTGTCAGTATGAGCTTTGAATTTTGAGTTAGAGCTTTTGTATTGTCAGTTAGAGGTACTTTTTATTATTCCAGCGGGTATAAGGTGGAATTATTATTGAAGTAATATCTAGACGGCATTATCCAACATACTCTTACAGATGATATTCTCAGGGCACTGAATTTCTAAAAATCTCAGCATTTCAACCCATTGTAAGTGTCACCATTATGCAAAATGGTAATATAGCATTGAATTTTTTTTATCCCATATTTTCTGAATGAGTCTACTAACTAACAGTTCATACCCCTGTAGTGTAGGTGCCTTTAATTTGTATATCAGTTTTGAGATCTTGGTGTGTGCTTGTAGCAAAGTTGTCGATGGAGAGATTGCTTGGGCCAGTCTGCACTACAACACACTGAAAATAAGCAATTAAAGTATTTAAACCTGAATTGTACATCAAGGGGTCATTTACAGAAATTTGTAAATCAATTGTAGTAATCATGGTTATAACGACGTCAAAGTTAGAGAACAATAGACTTTACAAATTCTTAACTTTACAAAGTTTCTGTTAATGGCCTCCAAGTTATTAGAAACACAAGTGCCTCATTTCATCTCATTTTTAAATAATAATGTTCTTCCTATCACTTTTACATTACAAGTACCTTATCTAGAATTGTTTACTTTTTCAAAATATCCCGCTGCCGTTCTCTATACTATCCAATTTGAAACAATGAAATACTCAAAATATTTTGGCCTTTTAACTTTCTAGATATTCATGCACATATATTATATCAAATTGGCAAGATGTTTCATGAGGATTTATTACACAAGCCATTAACATGCGAAATGTCACCACATGCCATTTGGTAGAGACACTGACTGTCGTACACTAACAACTGAATACCTGCCACAAAAAAGTTGAATAATTTAACCTTTACCATGCTGCCTTATTTCAGCAAATATATCCCACGCAACTGGCTTATTTTTCAAAGAGTGCAAAAAATGATATACCTGGACTAAATAATTAATATCTCAATAACTACTGAATGAATCTGGATAAAATTTTCACAAAGGGAAGATACAGTGGCCTGGCTCATGAAAAAAAATGTTCTCATGAATTTTTTCGTACATTAACACGACTGGGCATAAATATACCATGAATACTCCTCCGGAATCCGCCGCTCCGCCTCTTCGTCTGGTCAGAATCCAAATCTGAATTTGCAGCGATCGAATGTTCAATTTTTCAATTCAGAAAATATTCTAGTTTCTATTTTCGATGACCGTTATCGGCTTCCAAGAGCCTAAAGAGCTCGAAATCGTAATCTATTTCCTCCACATTTTCGTTGTGATCGTATTTGTCCACCATTTTGTACGATTCGTTCACTAAAAACGACTAAAACACTGTTTAAATTGTTGAATTGAGAATTATTTTTCGAAATATCGCCATTTCTAGGTCAACAGGAAGTCATGTTAGGCACTGAATAAATCGGGCAATCTAATTGGACAATACGAATGGCGCGAAAAAGTAAAGTTTTTAAAAGTTTGAAATCGGGCGTACGGGTCCGCCGGCAGTTGTGAGAGACATTTTAGTTTCGGCGGACGAGTCCGCCGGCAGCACGCTAAAGGTTAACATAAAATTATGCGTAGAATATGTATGTCACCAAAACACTTACCTGTGATTTATAATGCGCACTCATCACCTGCTCACTAAGTACATAGACATCAGTCAGTGAATTTACCACCAGCATGTTTTTAGAAGTCCCCCACTGAAAAACAAGTTTTGATTTAGTTCCATCTTTGCTTCTTGGTTATAATAGGTAGGTTATGCATGTCCAGCACCTGATGTATACTGCAATTATTTTAAATTGTGTACCTTTGCTTAGACATAACCAAAAGACTGCTTGGAGTATTTATGCATGCATAAAATACATTTTATATAAAAAAAAGATAAAGTATGCATAAGTTCCATCTATTCAATTCAATTTTTTAACTTTCTACACCTAATAAATGGAAATTTAAAAAATGACATTTAAAAAATAAAACAAATTTCTATAACATATTGATTTGAAATGTTTCTTGCTACTCACAGCAACTTGTTTGATGGTGGCTCCCTCTAGCAAAGAAGGTGACTGTAATTTCCACTGATCTTCTGGCTCTTGTTTCTGACCAGGGAGCGTAGGGACAAAGTTCCACATTGCTACCTTCCCTGATGAGATACCTGCAGCTAGGATACCTTGATGAAAAGAACAAGGTTGGAATATATGATTTTATTTGGGGAGGAGGGCAGGGCTCTCGCCAGGCTTTTAGACTGTGGCGCAGCACCACACTCTATTTAGCTTCCTCCACACCCTATTGGCAAATCATGACTGTTTCCACAGTCTAAACTTGACTGAGTATACAATTATAGCATGTAAAAAGGATAAAAATAACACAAATATGATTTATCACGACTGAACGGTTATCCTGAAGATGTTAGCACCACACCCTAAATATTTTCTGGTGAGAGCCCCGGAGGGTGTTTCAGATTTCCCAGAAGCAGATTAAGAAGGGGTGATAAAAAATCCATTAAAATTACAGAATTAGCATAAATATTCTTAAATTACAATTAAAGACAGACACACACGGACATGCACCCATTTGCGAAAGACCACAATATATAGCTTTTCAAAGTTTGATAAAAAAACAAATAGAACTTGTTTATGTCTAGGATTATAAGATTACCTTTGGTAGGGCAGTAAGAAATTCCAACAATGGGTTCTGTTATATCATAGCCAGCTACTCCCTCTAGATGGAGCACATAGTTGTCTTCTTTGATCAGATCCCACATCCTACAAATACAAATGATAAGTTACATGCAAGGGATGTCATAAAGCTAGCTTTCAGTTGTAACATTTGAATTATGGCCCTAAGTTACTCTTTTAGAAGTATGGCAAGATAAACAACTTTCAAATTATGAAGGTATGAGTTTTCTGGATATCAACAACATATTCTCTTTATTATGCAATCACTGTCATGACAACATTCCATTACATACTTTAATTCAAAAGACTGATGACATCACAATCATAGCACTGTTGCTATGTATGCATTAAACCTAGCAACAGAAACAGGTTATGACATCATAGTCAACAAATTATCAAGTTGCTAGGGTTGTGATATGTTTATAGCAACCACAAATACATAGTGATGATGTCACAATCAGATAAATCTACATCACCAGGTGATCATAAACAAATTGTTTCCATAGATAACATCAACAAACCATCATTTACTCACAAGATTCTGCTTTGGCAAGACATAAGTGAAAATAATGACGAATATGATGACTATGTTTATTTTACTGAACATTTGTGTTGTACTCATTGCATATAGGAGTTCTTCATATCTTCAGACAGATCATCACAGGTAAAAACATAATAAATTGGGCTTAACATTACACTTTTTACCCTATTCAAAAATTTACTTTAAGAAGCTTCTTCACTTGGAAAGTCAAATTTTGGAGTTTTTAAAAAAAACTTCTTCATTTTACACATATTTTATGTGGAATATCATGATACTGTACTTTTAATATATGAAGTAGATGTTTCTAGGATGGCTTTATGTGAATGTGATTCATTATCATTTTAAGTAATTTGAAGCTGTTCTAGTCCCAGCCTTGTTCAGTTTTATTTTGCCTTTTTAGCATGGATGATGTGTTAGACAAGATAACTACCACAGGAGCTTACGCAGCCTTAAATTACATCACATTTATCTCATCTGTCCAGGCAAGATGTACGATTACCTGGCTGAATGTATCTAAAGACAACATCATAAATGCTACAGAGGATTGGTTGAATAACACAATTGAGAACATCATCATGATAATGCAAGAATATATCTCAACTGCAAATGACTGGGTGACAGAGCATATGCATATAGAACATGTAGAAGAGTCTCAATTTGGAATCTGGTTTATAAAACATGGTAAGATAAAACTCATGAATATGATAAACTAAGAAAAGCAAAACATTTTACAGTGAAACCACTACAAAGTTTGGTAATAGCGGTTTACTATGGCAAATTAAACAGTTCATCTGACAGATATTGTCAATGTTGATCCTCAAAATATTTCAAAGCAATTGCAATCTATTGTGATCATTTTTCTTTCAGATCCATTCAAAGACCGAGGCATGTATGAAAGATGTGTGCTTCACGTAGCAGGCATTATGGCAATCATAGCATGCTTCATTAAAGTCCTTTTAGTGGAAACAGCAAGACTAAGTAAGTTCAATGTGGTTTTGTGTATGACACTTGATTAATCTTTCTTAACATTTCTCTTTTTTGTTCAATGTGGTTTTGTTTATGAGACTTGATTAATCTTTCTTAACATTTCTCATTGTTCAATGTGGTTTTGTTTATGAGACTTGATTAATCTTTCTTAACATTTCTCTTTGTTCAATGTGGTTTTGATTGATCTTCCTCAACACTTCTCCGTCTCTTTGATTTTCTAGAATTTATAATATAGATCAACTTAACTGATTACATGTTGAGAATCAACTGCTGATTGCAACTAAATTTTTACTTAAATCTTTAAATATCTGATGCACAGTGAAAGCCAATACAAATACTTAAGATTCAATATTTGTTGGATATTTCGCATGTGTACCTTTCTTCATATTCAAAATTGTTTTTCTAATTTCAGGATATACCCCTCCAATAGCAGACGACTACCAGGGATATTGTCGTTGTATTGAATCTATACTGGCTGAACATGAGAAAGTAGCAAATGAGATGCGACAAATTCCGAAACATGGCCTGAATAAACGTCAACGTCGAGGAATCATTGACCTCACGAACAAACACCTGACAAATATCGTTCTCAGGCGTCAGCAAAAAGAGCAGAAGATAAAGAGGAATGGAAAATCTAAATCTCTAATCAATGCTCTTTCTGTTATTTGTGGACTGTAAATTAAAAATGTCAATCCTCTTCCACCTTCTTTTCTTTACTGTATGCATGTGTTTTCTACTATTGTAAATAAATAATGTGATTCATTCATAATTCAATCGCTTTTTTTACTATTTTGGCTCATGAATTCAGAGCAACAAACCCCTACAATCAATAGAAATATAGCAGCTAATCCCAAGAACCATCCAAAGAATTCATTATCAAGTCAAAACCAAAATCAAAAGCCAAATTAAAACAAAACATACCAGAATTATAGGTTCACTATAAGGAAAATGGAGACACAGAAAGAACAATGTCAAACCCTAGGCAGTTATAGATCTTCGCAGATAACTATATCTAATAATTTGTAAACCATGCCATACCTTACTACACTCTCCCCAGTGGCTGTTGCTAGGATACCAGGTCCCGCCCATATGATATCAGGCTCTTGGGATTTTCCACTCAGTTTCACCTAAACACAGAAATATATTTTCAGTTTTGTAATTGGGCAATCTAGAGATTAAAGTTATGTACATTTCAGTAAACAGAACAAATAAATAAATGAAACATAGAGACATTACATCTTTCACAGTAAGCATCTGATTCAATGAGGGGAAAGTCTTGTTTTGATAAAGTGTTGGAAAATACCAATTCATCAGGTCGAATGAAGATAACACAAAATTGGGATTGAAGATACACCCATGATCAAGTTCTTTGAAATACTAACAAGGCTCTCAAGGTTGGAAATATGATTGCCACAGTGCCATATACTGAACCCTAGATATTTAGTATTTATTATATCATTGCTAAAAATCGTGTGATTTGATTGGCGGAGTGAGTACCATGTGATCAAAAATATAATATTTCACAGTTCCCTCAATTTTTGGATTGCCACAGTGCCATATACTGAATTGTCAAATAGGAAATTCATCTTTACAAGTTCATTGTGAAGAGCGAAAAGTGATTACCACTGGCAGTGAGTTTCGAACCCTGGATATTTAGTCGAGTGATTGGTCGAGTGTGTACAATGTGATCAAAAATATACTATAGCGTATTTCACAGTTCCTTAATTTTTGGATTATAAAAGACGTATTGCCCAGCATATTGCCCCAACCCCGGAATTCTGAATGATATATTTGCAAAATATTTACCTTCAGTATTTCTGAGACCTGGCCATCTCCTGTTACAGTATGCTGAGTAAGCATAAGAGAATCTGTGATCGTCACCAGTATATCTCTCTCCTCGTAAAACAATAGTTTTAACACACTACTGTCAGCTTGGTGGACAGCCACCTTCTTCCCACTATCCAATACATAGTAAACACTCCCTGTAAAATATATATTGAGGATGTGAACAAATGGCTTAAAAAAAAGTTCTAATATTTCTTTTTAGGTATAGAAATAAACTTAAATATAAATATATTTAAACAATCAAATTACAATTTTAAAATAATTCTTAAATTTTTATTTATCCAATTCAATTTCTCATCCCAGAATTAATATACACACCTGAGCTCGATTTCAGTCTTTTAACATTGACATTTAACATAATGAAATCTTTTGATCATATAGTATACCATAAATCATGGAATCTCAATCTTTTTTCCTGAAATGACATAAAACATACCTTTGTCGCAGCCTACAAAGAAGCTGTTAGCCTCCTGTGATCCCATGTTGAGGGGGGCTCCCTTTTTGCCTTTCTTCCAGTTAAACATATCTAAAGCACTCTCATCCCCACTCACTGCAGCCCTGGCTAGTGCAGCAATATCTCTATAGAAACAAAACAGAATTAGAGTAATTCAATTGGTTGCTTTAATATCTTTAATTAATTAATTTGTTCAAACATCTTTCATTGAACAATTTGTTAAAACATTTTAAATTCAAAGAATATTTTTACATACATAAGTATATTTTAGCCACAAAATAGCAGCATGTGAGCTTTCATAAAATATGAGTTTTATCTAGCTTATTCTGCAATTTTTCTTTGACCTATGGAAGTTTATACAGGCTAGTTGATCTTTGGATTGGTTTCACGTTTGGCGTCGATTTCATGGTTATGAGAAACAATAGCAGTAGAGCTACGTTATCTTAATTTTTAATTTAAAGGCTAGGTAATATCTCTGAAATTTCCTTCCCTGACTAGATAGGGCCCATGGACCAAGCCTGGCCCAAAAAATCAGTCTACACGATAAAAAATTACAGTTAGCCTTCATTTAACAAAGATTCCAGAATTCTTTCTAGGTTCAGGGTCATTAACAGAAACATCTGAAAAATTAAGAATTCCTCTCTCTATGACATCATCAAATCCATGGCTAAAACAATTTGTTTAAGAATTCTTAACTTTACAAAGTTTCTGTTAATGACCCCAAGATTATTAGGAAGGATTTTTAAGAAAATCGTTAATGCCCTGGTCACATTTGCTCCGATTTTCACTATGGCGCCCGGCCGATTGAGTATTTTGTTCAAAATTGAATACAATATTGAACAAAACATTCAATCGGCAGGGCACCGGCTGATGGATCGGAGCAAATGTGACCCAGGCGTAATTACTCACTGTGATGGGTCTTGAGGGGGTGTTGGTCGTATGATGACTTGTGTGATGATCTCATTCAGATCATGTTTGGCAAATGGCGTCTGCTGAAGACGTCCTTTTGAGTCACTCTTCCACACTATGAATGTGCCATCCTAATAAAGAAATGAGTAGTTAATGAAAACACAGAATGAAATCCTGCGTTAAGGGCTGATGTGAAAAAGTCAGTCCACCCCAGTGGGAATCGAACCCACGACCCCTCACTTACGAGGCGATTGCTCTAACACTGAGCTATAGGACCAATTAGCTTTTCCACACTGCAATTTTTCTTTGATCTAAGGAAGTTTATACAGGCTAATAGCGGTGTCACGGTTCCCGATATTGGACCAAATTTCGGTTCAACTGTTCTTAAATCCAGATGTTTCATGTTGTGTGATCTGGGTTTGACCAATCATAAAATGGAAAATTCAATCTACTTTTAATATCAATTCTTCAGACTTATTTTAATTAAAAATATAATCTCATTTTCTCAAGAAAAAAATTACTTGATTTAACCATTGTCATTTTAATCAAAACAACTGGTTTCACCCTTTTCATTTTAATGAAAAATTGATTTCACCCTAAAGCTACTAGTCGATTTTATTAGCTTTAGTGAACTTACTGAATAGCCAGTCGCTAATCTTGTCCCAGTAGAGCTCCAGGCAAGTCCCACTACCTCCCCCTTGTTTACTTTAGGTGCTTCATGTAACTCATGGTCGTGATCATTCCAGATCAACATTTCACCTGAAATAGATTGTGCCAATATTAAACCAGTGGTCAGTTTCAAGAGGACACCAAAATCATTGACTATTAATTGGAGAACTTTGCATGCATTTTCTATTTTTGACATTGTGACACTTTTCAGAAATCCGATCATATATATATTACATATCGGATGTACGTTTGGCCCTAAAAGGGCATCAGTACTAATAAAATCCTATTGTTATTATTACATAATAATATTGAAGATGGCTAGTTTGTAATCCATACTAAGAGGAATTAGTTGATAACATTTGGAAGACTAAGATTTTCCAAAACAACATTGTACTCAATATTTTCATAGTTTTCAAAATCTCAACAAGGGTGCAAATGAACCTTTAATTAAATTCAAATTTATTACAAAATCTTCATATGAAGGATTGAGATAGAAGGAAACACTCAATTGATTAAGTTGCTTGTGACGTATCTGAGAAGTATGGTTAGTGGAATGATTATAATATTTGGACTTAATGAGTTCTAACCTGTCTCCCATCCAGCCACAAGGATACGTTTAGTAGGGTGCCACACCAAAGCTGTAGGAGCACAAGATCTCTGAAGCACCGCATCTTGGATATGTTCTCCCTAAATAAAAAAAATAAAAAATATACTTTTCATAATGCACTGCTCAACACTGCATATTGTTCAGACCAACATTTTTAATCTGCTTCATACAGTTTGAAAAAGATCCTACACCTACCTCATCTAGAAACAAATTGACTGATCCCCCTGTTGTTTCACTGAAGGATCCAACAGCTAATATGGCAAAGTTATCGTGCCATATAGCTTCAGTTGTAGCACCACTTGTGGGAGACTGGATCTTCTGATCAAAGTATAAAGCCATTGTTAAAATCTGAAAAAAGCAAATCAAGTTTAGATTCAATTAATTAGAAATTCCATGAAGTAGCATATCCCAAAGATCACATTCATGAATCTGTATGTGCCACAATATAATATTTACCATCTACTATGACAAACATCAGCAAAATATCAGAATTTCCACCAATTTAAGTATGTGGGTGACCGTTGGGTTGCAGTAATATGGGTTCCAGACACAGCCTGCATATTTGAGCTTGGTCTAACTAGGGTGGAACATGGAGTCTGCTAAGAAGTATGTTGGGGGCTTTCTATAAGTGTCATATAAGCATACCACCAATGAGCTGGTTATATATTTGGCGATATGCTGATTCCATTTTAGGTCTGCCTGCACTGTCACTACAAGAGAATCAGCCAATGGAACCTTTTAAGCACATGACCTTGCATGTGGTTGTCGGAAACTACAGGTGTGCGTATACCAGTTGTTGACAAAACAGTGATTTTGTCTAGGCAGGGCTCTCACCAGGAAATATTTAGGGTGTGGTGCAAACATCTTCAGCATTACCGTTCAATCATGATAAATCATACCTTTTTACAGGCTATTATTGTATATTCAGTCAAGTTTAGACTGTGGTAACAATCATGATTTGCCAGTAGGGTGTGGTGGGAGCTAAATAGAGTGTGGTGCTGCGCCACGGTCTAAAAGCCTGGCGAGGGCCCTGCTAGGTGAAATTGCATCAGCCATTGTTTCTCCAAGGCTACTGCAGCATCAAAGTAATGCTGCGTTGGATAGATAGTCTACTTGTTTGAAGATAATGCTGGCATCTGCAAAAAGTCTCTGGGTATTTTGTTGCAGGATGTCTTGCAAATTGCTATTGGAACTTCTAGAGCAGGTGACGGTGTGACAACCTGACAAAACACCTTGGTTAAGTCCATCACCATGGCAATAGTCTAGTGATTTGTGTCATTTGTCAGTGCAAGGTCATGGAAAAAGGTAATAAGTTGTAAGTCGTATAGTATCCCTATGGTCTGTAGTTTGAGGCCTTATATTCCTCTCCCTTTTTGTATACAGGGCAATCCGCATATGGCTTTCTTCCAGTCAGAAAAGGAGATAGGAGATGATCAGCGAGTATGAAGGTGAGGGACACTGGTCCGTAGTTCGAGGCCTTATAATCCTCTCCCTTTTTGTATACAGGGCATATCATGGCTTTCTTCCAGTCAGATGTCATTTTTCCTTGATCTAACATGTCTAATGACAGCTGGAAGATAAATGTGAGTGGTGGTGATGTCAAGTGCCAGCTCTTTCAGAATTCGAGGTGGTTTTGACTTGGCCCCAAGCATCGTAAGGGTTTAGACCTTCAAGCATCTTCAGGACACCTTCTTGAGTAACTTGGATGTCTGGCATGGTTGGGAGGACTACATCCTTTGTCTGGCAAGGGGACGTTAGGGTCATTGGAGAAAACAGACTGAAACTGTTCATTGAGTATGTTTGCTTTGCCAATGTTATCACAAGTCCATCCATTTTTAAAGGAGAGACACAGAGACAACTGTTTTCCTCAGACTTTTGATGTATGAGAACAAGTCAACATAACCCTGTAGAACTCAACCCCTGCAAAATACCCGGTAAAATCGAAACTCATTCATATCTGCAATGCCTTTAGTTCTCTTACTTTGATAATCTAGCATTTTGCATATTATAAACAATTGATACTTCAGAATATTTGACAGATAGTTTGACATCTTTTAAAATCAAACTTTAGAAAAATACAATTTGGCAATTAAATGTTTGGCTAATACCCAAGCAGCAGGTGTACCCCAGCAGCTTCCCTGGCCCATCATCGTTTTGAAGTTTCATTTTCTGAGGCTTCAAATATTAGGCTTCACTACCAGAATCATTGAATATAGCAGCGATTTTATCATCATTACCCAGTTTAAATCTAGCCCTGGCTGCCATTTTAAATACCACAATGTGACAGATTCGCATTTGTTACAAAATAAATCAATAAGTGACCAAAATATATTTTTTCAGAAATTTTCCTTCGCCAAATTAATTTTAAATCACTTTCTGTCAATGTGAGTACCGAACATTGGCACTGCAATACTAGGGTGATATCTTTAGTCTGCTAAAACTTTCCTACAGCATGTCGACCTGGAGTCGATGTACGCCATGTAGCTTATTGGCAAAATTCACCTGACTGCGCGAATGATGAACTCAATAATGATCAAAAGTGTCAACCTGAACAGCATTATAAGAAACAAACTTATAATAAGATTCGAAATAAAATAAAATGACATGAGAAATAAATTCCTTGACCTTACCTTGCTCTTAATATTCGTAATATTATTCTTTAACATGTACGAGTATAAACATCAGAATTGATGTCACCTGTTAAACCTTTAAATATATATACTGTATTTTATTATATTATTAAGGAATAAATTGAATTGAATTAATTGCTGTAAATTCCATTTAATAACCCCTTGATAATCCTTCAGTGTTTTGCAGTTACTGTTATCCTATAATCCACATATTAATCCTAGAAGGACTATGTTGAAGAGCTTTTGAGATCACACTCATTATAACTATACATATATGTATATAAGTCAGGTCTTAGAATTGAAATCTTTCTCATGTCTTATTTCATTTTCCAATGTTTTCTGATATTTTTTTCGCTTTAAAACTGTTTTAGCTAGTCGAAATGAACCATTAATCTAAAAAAAATTTACTTTACTTTCATTTCACCATTAGTAGAAGTTCCCGGATGTACCAGCGTACTCTTATTAATTTGTTCTGTTCAGTATTTTAGTGCATTAGCGTTCTGTATTTCAGTACACTTTTCTCAGACTTTTTCTCGATGTACATCGCGATGTGCATTGATGTTTACTACTGTAAATTGCCGATGCATCGATGTACGATTTTGGCACATCGCGACAACACTAGTTGAGTTGACTTAGGGTTGAGTTTTACTGATGTTGAGTTTTAGGTGCAATAAAATTCAAAGCAAATGCGTGACATATACAAAAATTGCGAATCAAATGCATGACATATACGGCATTCGCGTGAAAAGTTGACAGCTGGTTTTTTTATGTATCGGCTTTCACTTTTTGAAGTTCTTCAAAGAAATATTTTTGCTTGACAATTATCAGGTAAAATGCGTATTTGCATGACATTCTGTCACGCAAAAAAAGCTGGCATGACTTCAATTTCTTCAGCAAATACGTGACAAATACGTGAATTGCGGCACAGTTGGATGGCCTGCGTCTCTTCATGACTCATGAGTCTCCTGATTTTATCAAAGACCCCCAAGGACATCCAATTGGAGGAGCAATCTCAACTCTGTTAGCTACAATGTAGTCAAAATCCACATTATAGCTTTCACAGGAATTAGTTCGGGGTAGACAGTAAAAAAGATGTCAAATGTGTTATTCGGCTTTATTTGGTTTGACAATCACTTTGGATTCCTCGTTGCCCCATGAGAAGTGCGTACAGAGAGGCAGTGTCCAACAATTACCTTCATGGATGACATCGAACTCCAATGCAGTGTCTCGGTATAGACACTGCGGCGGGCAGATTATCGGAATCCCCAAAATTTGGGGAAGATAGGCCCCCTTTTTGTCACAGATGTACTTGATTTTCATACAACTTATAAAATATATGTTCTTTTATGTTCACCAATCATTATTTTGTCAAAATATTTCAAAATTATTGAAATATGAGAAGAAATCACCGCGGAAGGAATTCTGAGTAAAAGTTTTGTTGATAATAGTTTACCACACGTGTTGTTTATTAGTTAATACGCGCAATTCAACCAATGAAATTGTCTAAATTTTACAATCACGCGACCTGAGCATGGGACTAGAACCAATCACGTCAGTTGTTTATTACGAAGTTACCATGCTTACGATGAGATACCTGCCCGCCGCAGTGATATTATCACTGCACGGGAGTTCGGGATGACATTGCCTCCCTGTCCTCTAGATTAATCACTGCTGAAAATGTGTTGCTTATAAATGTAAATGAGATGTAGTGTACCAGCTCATTTCAAGTATGTCATTTAGTCTAGTTAGATCTCGAATGTTCAATCAAACATTTGACATTCAGTGTTCACTCAAAAAAAAACAGGTGAAAAACCTAAAGAGTCCTAGGTAACCATATATTGAAATACTGATTATGGAAATATGGACGACACGATCAGTATAAAATCACGTCATATCACATCTGTCGTATATAAATTACAACATACCTCACTCTTGTCTTCTTTGCTTACATACTGAGAGAGGTATTCAACTTTTTATGGAGATTTCAGGATTTTAGTTTATCTCCATTTTTGAAGGAAGAAAAATTTGAATGACCCGGATGAGAGATCGTTTTATTCCGTAGAATAATATTTCCTACTGTTTCAGCAATTCTAAGAGAGTTTATACTTTTTAAATGGTGAAATATAAGACTTATTCATGAAAGTATGGATATATGTTCCCAAAAAGGTGTCAAAATAAAAATATTCTGTTTCAAAGTTTTCGGATAACTCCGTAATGTTGCTGCAATAATTTCGCGATCGCTCAAAAATACGAAAGGAAGTTTTGTTCGGGTTTCGACAAAAGTGTCAGTGTCCTTTTTTCAACTATCCCCTATCCATAGAATATAATGCTATCATATATTAAATTTTTTTAATTTATCTAGAAGCTAAACTTGACTTTTATTATATTTCAGGAAGGTCCATAAGATTGAATTTTCAAAATACGAACGCTATCAAGATTGTAAATGATCGGCTTTATATCGTAAAAAGATTCGATGAGTGAATCTCATGAATTTAGGGGAATGAATACCCTCCCAGAATTACATTCTTCTGGAGGATCAAGATAGTTTTAAACGGAGCAAGTAGACGTATTCAATACTCATCAATCAGTTGCACCATTCGACTTTTCAGTTATGGAGGTATGAATCAGCATTAAAGATTTGGGAAAGTAAATCATCATAAACGTGCTACAAAAAGTTCGGGACATAAATAAATGACAGGTGGATTTGCTGAAGTGAGGATTTCCCATGTTAAAAATAAGAGAATTTTCAAGAGGCCATACATCAGTGGATGAGATTATACAAAATGTAAAATATACAAATTTTAAGGGATATGTATCTAGACAATATTGGAAATTATGGGCTTTCAGACGACCATAATTAGGAAATGGTGATCGAAAATCGACCTGTCATTTATTTTTGTCCCCAACTGTACAAGATCCTGTGGTAAATGTGGCCAAATTGAAAATGGATTACATGTGTGTGTGGGGGGGATAGATCTAAATAGAGAATAGAGATCCACTTCTATTGTTCCGCCTTAGTTATATCTTGGTCCAATGGGATCACAATTTGTTCAGTCTCTTCTTGGAAGGAAAAGAACCATAGGCGTATTGCTATTCGTGTGGAAGGAGATGTCCCCTCTCTGATGAGTTAGACGAAGTTTTATCATCCATGTCAGATTTATTATAAAGACGCTATATAGGTACACACGTGCAACTTAGCTCTTGGTAGCCATATTGAGTGTTCAACTACATGTAGCTAATTAAACTTTACTTTGATGGATGAAGACTGCCATCTTCAAGCGTGCAAAGATGTCAGTTGATGCTTCACACAGCATGAGCCTTCACAATCAAAGGCCCCCCCCCCCCATCAAATAATTAGATTTCTGAAAACATTTGAATATTCACATCACATGCTTCCTGCTCAGTCAATTGTATTTTTATTCAAGTGGATTACCCGGGTTCTATCTTATAAAGTGTGTAGCTTCTTGATACAGCTTGTAATAAAGAAATTCAAAATTGGATCTAACAGATTCTAAGTATCAGGCAACTCAGTAATTTCAAAAAAGTTTCTTTTCACCTCCCTTATACAAATTTACTGGCTGTCACAGCCCGCTGTCACAGCGCTCTCACAGCCTGCTGTCACAGCGCTCCCGCAGCACGCTGTCACAGCGCTCTCGCAGCCCGCTCTCACAGCGCTCTCACAGCCCGCTGTCACAGCGCTGCGACAGCGCTCTCACAGCGCTGTGACAGCGCTCTCAAAGCGCTGTGACAGCCCATCGGAATGTACCATGCAAATGAGGCTGCGACAGCGCTGTCACAGCATTGCCATATATGGCATTGATTATGTATCCTTCATACACATAAATCTTAATTACCTATAGCCTATAAATTTAAATATCTTTAAAACGTTCCAAATTATAAATTTCAAATTCAGCATGGAAAAAGTAGATTCTAGGCTTGTAATACTAGTAATAGGTAATCAAAATTAAAAAATAGCTGTTACATCTTACCAGTCACACTGTTAAACCTGGCCAGTCACTATTTTTGCTGCATACATACCCTCGGCCCAATATTTCACTATATTGCCCTTAGAAATGACGTTATTGTACTATATTTATTTGACAAGTTTCATAAACAATTACTCTCTTTGACTTGATCGACTTAGCTTACATTTGCCAATCCAACTGCTGGTTGTTGGCTGATGGATTAACCTACTAATTCATGACCAACTCATTTATATTCATATTTAAATGAACTGGCCATGAAATTAGCTGGAGTTTGTTTTCCTTATGACTGGCAGGAGAGGGAGGAGGGGTGAACCAACTGTGAATTTTCTGAAAGGTGACCCCCTCATTGGCTTCAGGCCCAACATGTTTTTTTCTTATGTCTGGGTGGGTTCTGCAACAATTTTTGGTCCTTTCCTTTGGCATTTTTGCATACATATTTAAAGTCATTTAACCCATTCAACTTATCAAATGTGAACCAACCTGGAATTTTCTGAAATTACAAAGTTCATCTGCAAGTCTTTATATGGACATATAGTTTATATGGACTATATACATTGATATTTCAGACTTCTAGTTTAACCAGTACTAACTTGCACAAAATTCATATCATTTGATCCTTTTCCTTAGATCACTAAAACATTCCAAAGGTATCTATAAATAATCAGTAGTACAATACCTTACATGTGCTTTATAAATCAGTAATGATATGATGGCCATTTCAGCATAATTCCTTTGCTTTTTCCTCCTACAAACTTCCTGCTCTAACTGATTTTCAGTTTGAATTTTTTAACCCACAATGCATTGGTACTTCCTGCTGTGAGAGGGCTGTGAGAGCGCTGTGAGAGCGCTGCCACAAACTCTGGCTAAGATAGCATGTTGCTGTAATTGATCCAGCCACTTAATTACTGTCACATCCCTCTCGCAGCGATGGATGGAAATACAATGCTGTGACAGCGCTCTCACAGCGTTCTCGCAGCGTATGGATGTGAGAGCATTGTCGCTGAAATTGATCCAGCCATCAGTTTAAGCCTATATGCTGTCACAGCGCTGCGACAGCGCTGTGGCAGCGCTGTCACAGCTTTTATTTTCCGTAAGGGCTTCTGTCTTGAGTTTTTAGAAATTTCAAGTTGACCTGGATGAGTTGATTTTTAAAGGGGGTGAAGAAAATCCAAAATTATAATCAGATACAATTGAAAACAAATTAACAGCGTTAAGGTACAGCTGGAAAATAACATTTTGGTAAAAATTGTATACCTGCACATGTTATTTTCTGGTACACTATAAAGTATGAAGGCGTGTTAATTTCCTTGCTTTTTTCAGGAAAGTATCATTACATTGTCTTCTTTTAGTATATCTGGTAAGAGTTCAATGGGAACTCCAGGAAATTCTGATATTACACGCTTTCTATTTTTCCAAATTTTCTTTCAAAGCTATCATTGACTTTGTTTCCAGGTTTACTAAAAGTAGACAATGCAGGGGCGTAGGAAGGTGTAAATTCAAAACTACGCCAAAAATCCCGCCAAAAATATGAAACAATTGTGTCAATATTCTATATCAAAACGCCTATTTCATGCTCGTAAAATGTCATTTTATGAAAACAGAGATTTTAAGCTTCCAATGTTTTTCATAACCTAAATGTGAACGGAAATACTAAAGCGATGCATTTGTATGGGCGATTGGTCATACGTATAGGTTGGCGTTTCGATTTTATATGCAAGCTTTAAATCCCTGATACCTTTTTAATGTGCTTTAAAATGTTCAAATGATTTTCATCATTTAAAATCACCTTGGAAAGCCTATCTTTTAAATCTCGACACAAATCATTTTCACTTTGCTAATGTCTCGAACGATTGAGACGACCAATTTTCAAAACAATAAGAGATTTTTAATAATTTTCGAATAATTGAATCTAGATATATAGTATTGTCTGATTCCATCGTGTACCGTGCAATACAATACGTACAGATTAAAGAAACTAGTTTGATCAATTGATATGAAGAAACGCATTCGTGATCAATGAAACAAAAAAACACCCCCACAACAAAGGTCAAATCGAGGTCAACGTGACTTAGGGGGTGCCAAAAATGTTATAAAACAAGAATCTATTATTTTTCAAATGAAAAAAAACTAGGTAATCGCTTTTCTAGAACTGAAATCAATGAAACGTGTTATTGAATAATCAGCATTTTCAAGTTGTTTTTGTCTTTAACATTCATATTTCAAGAAGTACTACTAATAACAATTAGTGATTTAGTAAGAAAATAGATAATTGCTGACTTAACTATAATTTCTGTCTATGATTTTGCATAGCAACGGAATATAAATCGATGTAGTGAAATTGAAAAATCGGGGTAGGGGAGAATAAAAAATATACATCTTTTAAAGAGGTTCATCATTATAATCATATGATACCATAGTTTGCATAAGCATTACGGAACATGCAAAAAAAATGAAAAAAACAGTTTTTCTCTCAAATTCGTGAAGAGAACGCGATTCACGAATATTTGGCGAAATTGTATTTTACTTTTAAAATTCATAAGATAGTCTCGATTTTCATGAAATAAAGCATGTTGGTAAGGGAATTCAATCTGTTAAATGATATTTGCCAGACAGACCAATAATGATATGGTATCCACAAAACATTTCTTTGGGCTAGTGTGCTCGAGATTACTTTTACAATTTATGAACAATGAGAAAATATGACATAGGAAAATTTTTATTCTCACTTTTCAACACTACGCACTGGCGTTTTGGCGTACATTGTTCCTACGCCACTGCAATGTAATGGTACTTTCCTGAAAAAAGCAAGGAAATATACACATGCCTTCATTCATTCCAGAAAATAACATGTGCAGGTGTAGCAATTTTTACTAAAATGTTACTTTCCAGCTGAACCTTAATCCAGTTTACAAACTTATAATCAGATGCGAAATTTGAAACAGTGTCATCTGTGTCAATCCACACTTTACAAAATATTATGACTTAGTATTGCATCAAAAGATGGAATCTGTATTGATTGCTCCTCAGTGATTTCATTTTAGAGTCATCCACCATATTGAATTAAAA